ATTTTGAATACTTGAGCTAATTTTAATGAGAATTCAACTGAAAGCCAAGAAAAATGAATACAGTAAAGCCTGTAACAGAAGCGCCCGCTAACTTTTAAGTTTGAGCCAATTTATCTCGGTTTCCGTCAAAGATATCAAAAAATTGATCAACAGATACGTTCGTTATCTTAATATAATAAGTAGTGATTTTCAAAAGTTTTAATTTTGGGAAAAATATTCAGAAAGTGTTAATATTTCTGTTATATTTGTTGAAAAAACACGTTGCTCCCAAAAAGTTAACGGTCCATCTTTTGGGAGATTCGAAAGATTCACGTCGCTCACAAAAATTTTTGAAATTTCAGTACTTTGATGTGAAAATTAAAACTTTTGAAATTCACTACTTGTTATATCATAAAAGTTTTATTAGAAAACACACATTTTATATCTTGCATAGGAGCCTAGAAAAATTAGCTCAAACTTGACGGTCCTCTCTATTGCAGGTTTTTCGGTAAGCCTATTCCGATTTTTCAAAAATTTAGTTACAGATAGATACAAGTACTAAAAATAACACTTTTTTTATTACTGAATCGAGTTCTGAATCGAGTTTACTGAATCGAGTTCTGAATCGAGTTTACTGAACCGAGTTTTAAAAAAGGAATAACAAGTATTAAGCACCACTGGAAGCAGATCCAGAAGTCTCTCTGGCTGTCTTCTTCTTCTTCTTTTTGTTTTTCTTTGTTTTTATGCCAGTTGTTCCAGTGGTTCCAGTGGTTCCCGACGTTCCAGAAGTTCCACTAGTACTTAAACCAGTCTCCGCATCAGTTGATCCATCCTGCATAATTACCACATTCGGTGCATGTTGCTGTTTATTTTTCCGGGATCGCATGTAAAAAAATATCCCGATTCCACTGACGACCAAAAGAATCAGAAACACAACCAAGACTATGACAACAGTGGAATCATCAAGATCATCAGTTGTTGTTGCAATTGTAGTGCTTAGTGGAGGCGTCGGAGGAGCCGTTTTTGCTAGAGTTGTTTGGGTCGTTGGTAAGGCAGTCGTCGTGGTTGGAGGAGGAGGTGGAGGAGGGGAGAATACGCTGACAACTGCTACTGCTGCATCTCTGATCGGTCTGACGATCGCTTTTGCAGCGCCCCACTGTAAAATAAATCATTGTTTTTTTCAGTCATTGAAGTTTTGAACAGCTGGAATTAGAAAAAACCATACTTGTAAAATTCCGGGCCCGGGCCGGGCTGGGTCTGAGGAAAATTTCAAGGCCCGGAAGGCCCGGTAGCAAAAATTTTGTCATTTTGAACCGAATTTTGAGCTCTCAATACAATTTTCGATATTGTTTTGTGCTTTTTGGATTGTTTGTCTGCTTGATCAAAAAATATCAAAAAAACTCGAAAAAATTTTTTTGATCGAAAAAAATCACATAAGGGTCCCCCCTTATGTGTTTTTTGAAAATTTCAAAACTTGTGGAATGACAGGCCCGCCGGGCCGGGCCGGGCCTCCGAAATTCGGGAAAAAGCCCGGCCCGGCCCGTTACAAGTATGGAAAAAAACTTACAATCAAACCAAATACCATTCTTGACGGTTTTGAGTTCTTGAAGAAATCTCGAACTGACTGTTTCCACACATTCTAAAGACCTAGGGTACTAAAGTGTGGCATTTAGTGAACGGCCAGAGGGCTATATTTTGAATACTTGAGCTAATTTTAAAGGAGGGTGGATAGGAGTTTTTTAAAGTTTTTTTCAGGAGTCCCACAAGTTTAGCCTATCGAGGGGAACTTTCGAATATGTTTTCATGTCCCCACCTTTAACAAAACTGTTCTAGAAAACTTAAATTTCGATAAATCCCAATTTCAGATTTTTTCTATTGTTTTAGGTTGAACAGAAAGTTTTTTCCTTTTTTGGCAGCTTTCTTGGTTAAATTTTTCTCTCAGGAGAGGGCTAGATAAATGAAAGTTACGTCTATAAGCATCGATAGTTGTCTGCCAACGCTCCGGTAATTTTTTAATTCCATGGGACCAGAACGAGGAGAGCGGCGGTTGAAAAAGTGTGTCAACTCCTTTTTCGTGTCATCTTTTCAATTGAAGTCGCCTATCAAGATGACATTTAAGAGCCTCAAAAAACCATTTACCTGGAAGAGCAAGGTCCAGAGAATACGAAAAAAAGAATAATTCAGCCAAGCGACATGTCTGATCCCTCCAATCACAGGCGATCTCGCATTGTCGCGCTGAATGTGAACTTTGAGTTTTTCTCCTTTTTTTGCTTCGACTCCCAAACTTAGTTTTTCTAGTTAGGAACTATAAGAGACGGCAATTATAATGATACCTTCATTTAAAGGTTCCCAGTCTCCATTCCTTTGACAGACCATCAAACTCATAGCATCCCATTTTTCACGTGAAATTTAGGTTCCGGGATGTCCAGAGCTAGCTGTTCTTTGTTAATCAACTCACCCTTCTGCACATTGATAGAGTAACTTATCAACTTCTCATTTACACTAATTAGATCATCCTCCCAACTGAACGTGTGAAGAAATGATAGGAGAAACATGCTCATGTCCATCCACATGGAGATCCACATCATAGTCCTTCAAAACACGGGGTACGAATCGACCCATTGTTTGACTTCGCTAAGAGACTTGGATCCGTTCACAATACTTGCTTGACTAACGTATAATGTCTTTGACATTTTACGAATAGTTTGAAATGGATCCGCCTTCACCACTTTTAGCAATGGATCGAGATCCAACTAACTGGGCCGTTGGAATCTTTCAAACCGAACTCCCCCGAAAGGGATCTGTCGAACCAAAGGCAAATTGTAGGCGATGACGGAGCATGTCTTTTATATACATTCACTATTATTTTGCGAATAGTAGGTATTTGAAGATCAAATAAAAACAAAAACATAATCATGTAGCTAATGTGCAGTCGGATAAGGACCGAAAGAATCGTCATTCCTTTAACACGGAGTGAAATAAAAATTTAACAATCTACAATCTAAAAGACACTGAACACAGCTCTCTAACAAAAAAAGTTTGGCCCGCTACACCTCTTCTAGAACCAGAAATCGATCCTCAAAAACAGCCCTGTGAAAAAGGAAGAAACTTTCCGTCCAACCTAATATATTTCTTGTTGTTCTTGTTTTTGAATTCATGAAAAATAATTTAATAAGAAGATTTGTTTGAAAAAACAGGTCACAGTCAGTCAAATAAATTAAAATAAATAAATAATAGAACTCTGTAGAAACTTTGGACTTTGGGAGTAGAATATTGATATTCCGTTGGAATTACAGACGTTTCCGCGTGAGGGAGAGAGAGAGAGAGGAAAAGGGAAAAAATGGGATGAATAAAATAAAGGAAAAGAAATTGGGAAAGAAAAAGGCATATTTCAAGAGAAAAATGGGATAGGAAGGGAGAGAGGGGAAAGACAAAAAACGGATCGACAGTGTTTTTCAAAATTGTCGAGCGATCATTGAGCGGGTTGTTCAAAACAAGAAAGTACGAGGGAATTTTAGGAGCTAGTATAGTAGTAGAGAGCGCAGAGACGTTTCATGGCACGTTTCAGCTCGTCGGCTTTCGACGGCTTCACACGCTGACGCTCTGGACGCTGTTGGACTTGTCGGCGGCGTCGATCACTGGGTCGTCGTTCATTTGGAAAGCTGAAATTAGAAAAGATCAGTTATCGATTTTTTGGTTTTTCTATGAAAGCGTGACATCTAGAATACTCTATGGTAAAGGTTCAGTCGTGGGCAGACTAGAACTAGAGATGATCTATGAATGTCTATAGGCAAAGGAAGGTAGTAGTAGTAGTCTATAGATTACATGCGAGGAATAGAGAGAGTTGAGCAAGCGGGAGGCGGAGTTAACTTCGATTATCTATCTATCTTACACTTTCGTCTAACGCATGCGATTCCTTGCGTGTAGGCGATCGGAGAACACTGGCACACTCCTGCGTGGCACATCGACAGCCCGTCGTTGTGTCCGACGCACTCGCCGTCAAGTTGACAACGGGCGCCGATGGGTCGCGGCGCTAAAAATTAGAGAAAAAGATAGAAAAATGGGATTTAGATGTGATAGGGTTGTCGCCGTGACGACTTACACATCGACGAAGATCCGAATCGATTGTTGTTGTTGTTGAAGGTGTTGAAACCGTTGTTGTTGTTGTTGTTGTTGTTGTTGACATTGTTACCCGGGAATGATGGGAACGTTTGTGGTTGACCTGGTGGACAACAGAGATTCAATGATGAGACGCACTCGAAACCGGTTCCACATGATCCATTGGGGAAGCATCCGGAGACTGCGGTGTCACCGGATGGACATTTGCCTGTAATGGGGGATGATGAGAGAAAGAGTTCAGGGGGAATGGTCATGCCATATAAGTACTTTGTAAGAATCCAACTGGCTTGTTGTTGGCGGATGGAGAACAGCATTGTCCGTTTTGACACTCGAGTCCGATTCCGCAAAGACCATTCATGCATGGACCGGATGAGAGAGATCCATCACAGCATGAGGAAGATTGGGATGGTCCGCCCAAGCGAGCTGAAGAAGAAGAGAGGTGGAAGACACACATGGAAAGGATGGGGGGATGGGATATTCACACAGAAAGAGACACACCGAGAGGATCAAGGATCAGAAATAGTCAATGGAATAATTTTCAGAGGTTTATAGGCATACTTACGAGGCATGTAGCTGTGAAGTGGACGTCCGTAGTTTGGCTTCTGAGCCATTTGTCGAGCATTACCGATACGAAGACGGCTGAAAGTTGTAGTTTGGCAGCAGATTCCAGCATTTGTGAAGCAAGTGTATCCAGTTGGGCAGGTTCCGGCGTCTGTTGTGGTGTCGCATTCTCCGATTTGGTTAGCGGCGGCGCAGAGTCCAGTGGCTGAAAATTATCAATTGAGGCTAATCTCTTTGATTTGAATACTTACTGCACTGAAGATCGATACAGGTTCCTGGGTTGACTCCGTTGGTGATGAGTGGACTGTTTGGAATGTAGACAACAACATATCCTGGTGGGCAAAGTCCGTCAATAGCTGGTCCGACTTGGCAACTCTCAACATCATAAGTGACGACTGGGCAGCAGTTAACATTGTTGGAATCGCAAGCGTATCCAGCTGGACATCCTCCGTTGAATCCAGTTCCGGTACATGGTCCGATAGAGATCTCATCAGTACAGGTAACAGAGGATGGGCAGCAGACTCCATTGGTAAGAGTGTATCCAGCGATACAGACTCCATTGACAGCGGCGAGTCCAGTGGATCCATCAGAGCAGGTGGCAGAGCAGCAAAGGTTTCCTTGGACGGTGTATCCAGTTGGGCAAAGTCCGTTGATGGTTGGGCCAAGAACTTCTCCTCCATTTGGACAGCTGTTGATTGGACAGCAGATGTTTCCGGTGGTGCAAGTGTATCCAGATCCACAGTAGTATGAGACTTGAACTCCTCCGCATCCGTCTCCGGTGCAAGATGGGATGCAAGCTCCGACGGCGTCAGATCCATCGAGACACTTGACAGTGGTGGAGGTTCCAGCACAGCAGAGTCCGTTAGAGCAAGTGTATCCAGTTCCGCATTGTCCGTTGACACATCCTCCAGCAGCTTGGGTTCCGTCAGGGCAGACTAGAAGAAGTTATAAATTACAATTATGATTAGGATTCTAAAGTCTTACCGAATGGGTTGGTGGTGGTGGTTTGTGGGCAGCAGACGTTGTTACTGCAGGTGTATCCACTGGCGCATCTTCCGGACATACAGGCTCCGACGGCGTTTCCTCCAGATGGGCAGGTGTCTGAAATTTTGAACTTGTAAAATCGTAAACCTTTTTTTTAACTTACAAACTGAGATTCTTGGAGCAGAGTTGTAGGATGGGCAACATTGGTTTTGGATGCAACTGTATCCAGTGGCACAATATCCGGAACTGCATCCTCCGACTGAGTATCCACCTCCTGGGCACGAGCTTTGTGGGATGGTGATGATTTGTGGGGCGTTTTGGCATCCGACGCAGTTGCTGGATCCTCCGCTCACTGAAATCGAAATGTTAGAATTTAAAGGAGGTTGAGATTTGTTAGATGGTGCTGGTGCAATTGTAAAAAAGGTATTACTGCATCCACAAGTATAAGATGAGAATCTGGCTGGTGGTTCCTTGGTAACTGGCGACTCAGCAACTTCAAATTCTTCCAATTTCTGCTTCCTTCTTTTTGTTTTTCTTTTCTTTGGATTCTTAGGATCAGTGAGTGGGAGTAAAAGCGGGCAGCAGAGGTTAATAGCAGTGTCACAGTGCAATCCGGCTGGACATTCCGAACCGGCAGAGCATATCAAAGAGGATTGGAATCCACCAGCACATGATACTGTAATCTGAAAGTTGTCGGTGTCGAATCAGATCATCAGGTCTCACCACCGTCGCCTTGAGCTCTAATGAGCACTTCGTCCAATTTGGAGAGGTGCTCTGGGAACCCGTATCCGGGCGGTCCGATTGGAAAATCATTCTGTGGGAGGAGGGGATCAGAAGGTGATTGTTCTTTCTTTTTAGGTTTTCTGTGCTTTTTCATGTTAGAAGATGAGATGTGTTTTTTTGTGGAATTTGAAGTGGAAGCAGTCTGGTTAGTGGTGCTGTCAGAATCTGAATGTGTGATGAGTGAGTCAGGGATGTGTGGTGTGCATAATCAGTTATCAGTTTACTCACCAATGATTGGGGCAGAGTTGGATCCGGACGAGCAGCAGTATCCATTGTTACAGGTTCCCACGGAGCATGGGTTGGAGTTGGAGCAGCTGGAGAAGGTGCACACGAGTCCGTTGGCTTGTTGACCTGTATTTGGAAATGAGGATAAGAATAAGAGAGATAAAGATAGAGTAGAAGCAATAGAGGTTAATCATGCAAAGGGTTTATTTTGGTTAGTTTGATAAGTTAAGTCTTCTGTTGTACACGTGTCTGTAGATTGGCAATAATAGGTGAGAATGGTCCGGTATCCTTCTGAAATTATGATTTTTTAAAGATTCATGACTTCTGCTTCGACTCTTACCTATTGAGTTCTTGCTAGCTGACAACATCTGCCCTTTTGATTACAGAAATATGGAGAAGGACACTGTAAGCTGTATCGACAAGAGTTTCCAAATCGAGGATCAACTTCTATGGATCCCATTGGACAGTCCGAGTCAGAGGAAACCAATGCGGACACACTTCCTTCGACTACCAATCCTGAATAATGATTCTCTTATAAAAATTTTAGAACCAGATCACTGACCAGGGCTATAACAGCAAGCGAAATGTTCGTGATTCAGAAGTGTGCATTTATGAGAGGATGATGGGCATGTATCATGATTGTTTGCGGATTCACATGATGTTTCCGGTACGGTACCATCTGGACAACGAACATTTAGTTTGCAACATTTTCCAGACAAAGAGCAAGTGAATTCTGGAGGACATAGGGTGTGAAGATCGCATATTTGAGAGGATAGGCAGTTCTGAAAGAATACCAAAATTTAAAATTCAAGATTTTAGTTTGGATTCTTACATTCTTATTAATGGAAACCCCCTTTTCCACTTTCTTCACTTTCTTCCACACTTTTGTCGCTGTTGATGTCACTTCTTCTTTGATAATGTCTTCGGAAGCTTCCGAAGCTTCCTCCGAAGACGTCAATGGACAACACTTTCCATATTCACACCTTGATGATATCGGACAGTCATCTGATAAATCACATGTTACTGGAATCGTCAAAGCCATTAATCCATTTCCGCATCTGGCCAATGGAGGCTGTTTGCAGCAGACTCCATCTACGCATTCGGACATATCTGGACAGACGTTCTCAATTCCACAATTTCGGACTCTGGGGTCTATTTCGCAATCTCCGATCATTATCTTTTTGGGTGGTTCCAGTGGAGTTTTGTTCTCATTTTTTCCAGGCTTTTCCTTGTTTTCCATAGTTTCTGGTCCAGATTTTATAACAGCCAATTCTATATTTTTTGGACAGCATCCCCCAAAAATGCAATGCTCATTTGATCTACAGTGATACTGACTAGTGCATGTGAACCGAACATCGACGAGACTTCTCGGACATTTTGCTAATTTACAACATCCCTGTGAACATTTGAACGAAATCGGACAGTCCTCATCGATGGTGCAATTTGCATTGGTACCTCCACAGGATGTTGTTGCTCCGTCTATAAAAGTACAGTTTGAGAGAAGATACGAAAAAGAAGAAGAAGCCTAATGCGCTGTGCGTGTTCAGTCTTAGCTCCTCTCATTAGCCGCTATTTACTTCGTAAACAATGAGAGAATCGAAGAGAGATGATTATTCTTCTTTTCCTCCGAAATACTTTAAAGTGACCGCAAACAAAGAAGAAGATCCTTACCTGATGAATTCGATTCGTCCGTGCTCAAACATCGAAGTTTCGGAGGCTCCGTGGTCCGTGTTGGTGTCGGTGTGATGCCTGGTGCCATAACTTCTTCCAGCTTCTGGGGTCTTCGGGTTGGGAATGATTCGATTGCAGCGCTATCGAAGATGTCATTGTCCACTTCGAAAATTGTATTCGTTGCTTCTACAGTCGCATATCGATAAACTTTTGGGTGTCGAAGAATTTTCCTTTCTTCACAACAGTTGTTTTGGCATGTCATTCCTTTTGGGCAGGATTCATCGATAGTGCAGACCATGGAACATCCGATTGAAGATTGAAGAGCAGTCGATGGGCAACATACTTTTTGGGCGGTACAAATGTATCCTTTGGGACACTGTGACGGGTCCTTTGGACACGTGTTATTTGGTGGAGATCCATCAGAACACAAATCTAGTAATGGGTTAGAAAGGGAGGATTGTATGGTTAGTGAAAAACCTACTAGATGTTGTTAGTGGGATACATTTGCCATCTCGACAAGCGGATCCCAAAGGGCATTTGGAGCAAGGGTTAGAAGAATTAGAATAGGAAGAAGGAGGAGCTGTGAAAATGGAGAAAGGGAGAGTGATAAGGTTATCTGGAAACTTACGAGAAAGGGAGCTCATTCTCTTTGGAACGATACAGGTTTGTTGCTCAAAGTTGAACAAGAAGTTTTCTTGGCACGACTTGCGGACCCATCGGAGAGTTCTGAAAATATTGTTGTTTTTATGCATTCCGTTTCATTGGCTCTACGTTTGGTCGCATTGAAGATACGATGATGGGAAGTCGTTGTGAGCCTGAAGGCAAGTGGCCGACACGGCGCATGCCTCGTTCTCGCGGGCTCCGTTGTCTTGCTCTGAAAAATTCCTTTTCAGTGTATTCCAAAGTTCCCTCATTTGATTCGATTCTCTGCTAATAGGTCTCTCTCAACTCAAAACAAAACACTCTTCGGGTCAGGTGGAAGGGGTTTCTAAGTCGGCGCCGCGCGGAGAGGAGAACACTTCTGCTTCTTCTGACCCCTATTTGTTGATTTCCCCCCACTTGGTCACGCGCCGTCGATCGAGCTCTCAGGAAAGAGAGCACACTCTCCGGAGGCTCCGATTGCGGACAAAAGCCGGTAGGAGTTTCGCATCAAGGGCACAAGCTTTTCGGAATGAGTTACGGTTTTTTGAGGAATTGTCTCATCAATTAGTTTCATCAGGAGGAGACAAAAAGCGCGGTCAAATATTGAAACAATGGAAAGAACCTCTGCATCCCTCTCTTCAGATGATCTGGACAATTTGCGAAAAGCTTCAGAAGAGAGACCTACTATTTGTGTTTGTGTGTGTTTTATTTTTTGAGAAGAAGAAGAGGTGAGTGTGAATTGAAAAGGGGATTGAAGGAGAGAATAAATGTACAAACATACTCATTTCTTCTCAATTCAACAATATAACGCAATAGACAAGAAACACCACCAGAAGCAAAAGTAAACAGAGAGAGAAATTTATGCTAGATGGTTTTTGAATTCGCTTTTTTCTACTTTTTTTTAGATCCTAAATACTTTTCGGTTTCATTTGAATTCTCTTCTTCTTCTCAAAGTTTTCTCATCATTTGTTGACCAGCAGCACCCCCTACCAAGACTATTTGTTTGCGGTCATCTCGCTCATTACTCCCCCCGTGGTTGACTTAAGAGCTTTGAGCGAGACGAAACTAAAAGTTATCAAACGAAGTTTAACTTACCACAAATATTCGGAGAAGCTGGTTTACGGGCTTTCGGATGCTGTTGTGGCTGCGTGTTTTCGGTTGGAAGGGTGGCTGGAGCTGGAGCAGCAGCGGCGGCGGCACGGGACTTCACAACCCAGACACCTTCACCATCGGCACTGCTGAAAAATGGAAAAGTTCAGAAATGGGTTCAGATTTGTGAAAAACTCACTCGGCTGTGGTTTCGCACTTCAGGAAGAACTGCGTCTGCTTTCCACCGATTTGCACATCGGCCGTCCCCAGTTTACAGGTTCCGCCAATGACGGGCGTCTGACAAAGTCCCTGGGAGACTGAAAAAGAAAAAAGGTAAGGATTTGGAAGAAATATAGACGAATGCTTTGTATTGCTTCTACAGTATGCCTCATAGTACATTAAAGTACTTCTACTTAAACTAGTGAATATCTACACGAAGTATCGTACACAATTCAAATGAATCCGGATGTCTAAAAATATCACCTGATTCTGAGAGTTCAAGAATCGGATAATGAATAAAACAAGAAATTCAAAAAGATAAGAAGAAGATCATCATGTTAGATAATATTGACTAAATACTATCACTCTCAAAACATTATCAATTCTTGACCTGATAAAAGTCAGAACCAAATTGTTAAGGACTTTAGAGAACAGAAAAATCCAGAATAAAAGACTTACCGAGAAAAGTGAGTAAAATAAGATTACGCAGCATTATGTGTTGGTGTTTGACTGCTTTTGGGTTATATGGGAATATGGAAGAAGTCGTTTCAGATGAAAACAAAGGCTGCTATCCCTTCTTCTTCTCTTCTTATATCGTGGACTCGACAAGAAATGCCACGCTGGAAAGACTAAAGTGATAAAGGCTGGCCTGAGGGGGTGGGGCTTAGAGACAAGAATCTTTAAAGGGATTAGACAAAAGACAAAAGAAAAGAAAAGAGAAGAGGAGGATCCTTCTTCTGAAAGGTTAAGATGTGAAATGTGTCTTCTCGGGTACGCGGCTAGAGAACGAATGAATCGGAGTTGGTAGTAGGGTCTCCTGTCTCTCTAGATAGAGAGCTTCCGAGGGGTTGGCGAGAGGGTTTGTATGCGAACAGCGACCGCCCACTTTTCCTCTATCCTTCTGTTTCTTCGCCCCTTTTTCGCATACTGTACGGGAGAAGAGAGAAGAGAGAAGCACGCTCCGGCGCGGTATGGAGCGGAGACACAGTACCATTCGGAAGAAGACGAAAATAGAAGCTCGGCGCGATTATGAGCACAAGAATAGAAGGCGCGCACTGTTCTCTCTTCTCTGAATCTCGCGTTCTCTAGTACTATTGTTTCCTTTTTTGGGGTGAGGGCACCCGGCGACACTAAGGCGTCTTTCTCAAGAAGTAGAACCCATTTTCAATTGGGAGGGGGACAGAAAAAAAAACAGGTCGCCAAGTTTTTGAGGGGGGGATTGGAAAAAAGTGAGGAAAAAATGAGCAAGTTCAGCCTGACCATAAATTCCGGAAGAGGGCAAATATTGTTCGGAAGTGCAGATGATGGTGTCGGCGGCTAGACTGATGTTACGGCTAATTTCATAATAAAGAATGTGGGCTTGATGATTGGTGAAGAGCTACACAGATACTAGAAAGTTCAGGAATTTTCCATAGAGATGACGAATCGAATCGATCCGGTTGCTAAGGACGACCGGAAAATTGTTCTCTTGTGATTAGTGACTCATCATGATGACTAATAGTAATTATGGAGGCAAACCGTTTAGTTCGAGCTCAATTCCAGTTTTTTTTTTTAATATAAAAGATGTATCAAGTTCTGAAATCAATAGACAGGGCCCGAAAACATTGAGGATCAGTCCCGGCCAGAGCCATCCACTTTGCAGTTTATAACTTTGTCCATAGACAATATATAATTTTCAAATAGCATCATTTTTTCGTTTACAAGTATGACTTAAACACTTCTGAGATAAAAAATATGAGGTATGACCTCTTCTGAAATTTCGACAGACATTTTTTGAGTTCTATTTATCTGAAATTTCTTCTCAAAGGAGTAGACATTGAAAAGTGCCAAAACACAGTTCTTCCGATTTCCGGAATGTTTATTCTTCCTTATATTGTATTTATATAATAGATCCTGTTTCACTGAACTTTTATTGTATTGCAACGTATTGTAAATACGGTAGGACTTTTTAGCGGAAATGCCAATTGTGTCTATGGGAAAACAGATATAAGTTAGGAAGCTGAAAAGCTGGCATTTCTAGATTGGACAATGGGATCTAGAAGGATCGCGTTCCAGGATTTGCGTCCTAATGTCACCTTGCCCCTACCGTACCGTTGCCGTGCTACTTCTTGAACCATCTATGCCCCAAGTAGCGGCACATGTGCCGATTTTTCGGAATCTCCCTTTCAGATCCCGATGTTTCAGATTATGTTTCCATATGTTGGATCTATTTCATTAATTTTTCACAATTGTTAATCTTTTTCCATAAGTGCAAAACTATTTCAAATGGCATCTAGTCTCCCGGCGTCCTTGCGTAACTGGTCATCCTTCTTTGATGTAATCGAATTCTTCATTTTCCGTTTCTCTTCAACCAATCCGAATCCGGATACTGTTGTTCTAGACACTTCGCACATACAATTTGGGGAAAAACGAACAAGGAGACACACGGAAGCAAAAAAGCGTGTGGTCTGCTGGGTGTGGACAAGCTGTCAAGCGCATCATTTTGCAACACATATATCACGATAAAAGAGAGAAGACAAAGTGCGAGAGGGTGCTCGTGCCACTGTTTGTTGTCCTCGGGAATACGGGGGGACTCTACACAACTTGTCATTTTTTTATCAGAAATTTTCGAAAGAATTTAGAGAGAGTGTTCGTCGCTAAAGATGACAAGGCGTCGGTCCTCTCTCATCATCACGAAACAAGCGGAACCTCTCTCTCTCCGGAGCGGTAAAGAGAGCCAAAGAGAAAGCGACGGTCAGAGCCACAGCAAAAAAAAACTCTCAGCTACCAGGCTCGACCAGGCGGTTCTGTACTAGTTACGTTTGCACTGATAACACGTTATCAATGTTTACAAGGTATTCCCCTCGTACTTTTGTTACCGACGCCAAGTAATGATTTCAGAAAGTTCACTGTTAGGGAGATATAGGTTTAAAATTTTACTTTTGAAATTGCTATCAAGTTTAGGTAGTTAATGTATTCAATACAGGGAACTTATTATAATTCCTGGAACATTTTGGCTTCCTGAGATAGATTTTCTTACTATTAGAGACGTCTGAAAATGTTAAAAATACCGAAATTCAAGAGTTTTGCAGTGTTGATCCCTATTACAGATAGGAAAGAGTAGACAACATAGATGTCCCGAATGTCCTTTTCAAAAAACATGAATCCGGAATATGGAATAAATGAACTTTCTGGGAATCCGGAATGAAAACAAAAATGGTATCCAGAATACGGATAGAGTCCGGAATCCGAACTCTGGTTTAATACGACCCGGAAAATGATTTTCTGAAAAAGTAGAAAAATGTAAAGATAGTTCTGAATTTTTTAGAAAAAGGTTAACAGCTACACATTGAGTACTTATCCTAACTGGATCTTTTTTGGCAAGCACAACACTGTAACTAAAAATCACCAGGTGGTTTGAAGATGCACTTTTAGAGTGGAACACATAGGTGGCATTCGATTTGAGCTCAGAAAACGTTATATTACAGAGCGGCATTCAATTAGGAGAGGCCTTATAATAGAGTGCCTCTCATTTCATTTGAAATCAGCTTGGTTGGTAAATTTTCCGACTTTCTGAATTACTAATTTTCTACCATTCGAAATTTCCAGTGAAAAACAACCAATCAACAAATCCTGTAATGTTTGAGTATGAATGATGATCGCGAACTCTTTTTTTTTCGTTCTCCTGTATTTTTCTCCCTGTTATGGTCTCCGATAGTCACGAGAAAGTGCATAGTATCAGTAGCCAAACATCACAAAAGTGTCCAGCAGATCACTTTTCGAAATTTGGGGAATTTTTGAAAGCTACACTACAGTAATCCTAAATGAAACGATACACCTTGAATGTCAGGCAGGGCTGGGAAAATAAGCTCCTACTGCGCGGCGGCTCCGTGCCGACTTAAAAACGGCTGCCACATTTTGGTGTGAATTTCAGGTACAAAGAATGCCACTCTGATCTTGGGAACTTGTTGTAGTTCCGATAAATCGTGGAGCCTGATGAGTGAGCAAACTACAGCACACACTTCACGGAATACAAAATGTGATAAATGGTTTTTTGTCGAGTGCCATTTGAGAGGCATGATTCTTTTTGAATTCGGTCGCTCGCGCGGTGCACACTCTTTGTTCCTAAAAATCTCATCTTGACCCAATTCGGCTCTCTTATCATGTGTTTGGCATTCGAATCACTATGTGTGTGTGCTCCTCTTTCTTCTTCAAAACAGTCTCCAGAGCTTGAGACGTATTTTCTCTTTATTTGAGAAGAAGCAGAAGAAGAACCGACTATTTCTCTTGAGAGATTGTTTTGCGAAGCTTGTACAAAGGTCGTGGCACTGACCAATCTCACCTCTTTTTCTCTATTTTTCTCTTGTCTTTTCTGAGTCTCAGCACTTGAAAAAGTACACACTCAAACAGGGGAGACTGTGAGCCCCCATTCGGGAATCCCACGGCCACTAAATGACCCACCGAACGGGTTGGCGGAGCAACCGGAGGAGAGACATAAAGGCATGAAAAAGAGAAAGACTTCCTAATGATAAAAATGTTTCGCCGAAAAAATAGAGATTGAAGATTACGGCGAAATCGAACAGAAATTATTTTGAGGGGTGCATTTTGAAATTCTGGATTTCTAGAAAACAGTAGACATGGTTGAAAATCTGATTGACTTAAAAGTATCCCGAATATGGGATTGTCAAATATGACCCGGTCTGGAAATCACAAATTTGAGGTCTGAAATGTTAAATGCTGATTTTTTCACTACCGTATTTCCTCTAGTAAAATCCCACTCAAACCACCGTCAATTGATTTTAAGCTAATTTTAAGCTCAATTATCTCGACTCCTGTAAAAAATATAAAAAATTAAAAAAAAACTTTTTTAGCTTACACAAGGATCGAGATGATTAACCTTAAAGTTGACTGTTTGGGTGGGCATCTATTAGAGCAAATAGGGCAGGTCGGTCAATTACTTAATTTTTAGGTAACGGAAAAAAAAATTCGATAATTAATAAAAGTTAGTTTTTGAAACAGGTTTTTTCTTAGATTCAATTTTCAAAAATTCAATTTTTTTCAGAAATCTCTCATATGACTTTTTTTATCATAAACCCTGTTTTTCCGGCCTTTTTTCCAGAATTCCTGTTCGAAATCATGAAAATCTATCAATTTTGCCTATAGCAATTTTTCAGCTTAAAAGAGTGCTTCAAAGGTGTTTGTGAAATTGCTAAATTTCCGGAATATTTTTCGCTAAAAACGTCCGGAAATTTTTAACTTCAAATGACCTGTTTTGAACGAAGGGGCCTGTATTACAAGAGCCGTTCTATTAACGCACTCCTATGAAAGAGGCCCTTCTAATACAGGTTTTACGGTATGTTAAGATTGAATTTCAAAACTGTCGATTTGAATCTGAAACTTCATTAAAAACTCTATAAATTCGAGTTTTTCAGGCTTTGCAGCCTTTGCAGCCTTTGAAGCCGGTTTTTTCAGAAAAATCAGGATATTTTGAATCTTATAATTTCAGAAGGGTTTGTTAGTTCTGTCCTACCTCTTTTTTTCAGATCACAAAAGTTTTGCAAACCCCGGACTGGCTGATTTGAAAGATCCTTTTGCTTTCCGTTTCTTCAAAAAAAAAATCTCAAAATATTCAGTGCTCCCACACAGAAAGATTCTGAGAACCGCGTCATTTTGAGTCACAACTATCCGGATATATGAAAAATCACCTGCACCATCTCTTCTGAAGCAGTGTTTCGTCATTATGACAATTGGAAAATGTCATGTGCATTCTAACAGATTACAGCAAAAAAATAAAATTAGAAATCCTAATCAACAGAGATTAACTTATTCATTAAATACTTGCAACATTTGTGGTTTGTAGGGAGCAGATATCAAAGTGCGCTCTAGTGATAAATCTACTTTTAGAATAAACATTTCTGTTGTTTTTTTCTAGGTCCATCTGATCTGCCAGACTCATTAACTACCCTATTTAAATTTTACGGGCTTCCTGTTAAAGTCACTTTTTGCACTTTTTGCTCTCAATCTTTGTCTATTTTTCCGCTGGCCAGACTGGATTATATGTATCATTATGATATAATAATAGCGGAATGTTTGTTCTTCATCCTGTACAGTATCCTTTATCATTTTTTTCCGGAGCGGCATGGCTTTCCATCTCTTTTCTCCTATTTCTCTCCCTATCCCACCTACAGTAATCCTTGCGGACACGAACACAGACATTCTGAAGAGGTCACGAATGATGCTGCTCCTGTCCTTATCACTTTGTTTCACTCTGTGTCTCTCCGTTCCCTGTACTCTCTCGATTTCTCTCCCAATTCGTCCGCAACCGGGTTTGACCAGTGTTTCGATGCGCGAAAGTTTGCGAAAGCCGTCGTCTCGTAAATGCTTTTGCGGAGTTTTGTTCTGGATGATAGAGGAACCGCCGTTCATTACATTCCTATGACTGGAATTGGGAAATATGATGAAATAAGACACAATTATAGAATCAACTGAAGCTGATATTTAAAATTTGGTATTTCAGACGATACTGAGAAAAATTAGAGCCTTAATTTGGAAAGACAATTTGAAGAAAAATCCAACAAAGCTCATTGTTCAGTCTCCATAATTTCAATTTCACTGCGATTTTTTAGTTTGGGTTTCCACTGAACCGATTCTATTTAGATTACTGTAAAACCTGTATTAGAAGGGTCCTACATTCAAGTTTGAGCTCAATTATCTCGGATCCCATGCGAGATATCAAAAATGTGTCAACTGTGAAAATGCTTGTGATATTATGATGAACATTTTATCAGTGGACAGCTTTTTCATATCTTTGACAGGAACAAAAGAAAATTGGCTCAAAGTGAAAAATTAGGGATCCTTTCTGATTTGTATGGTACTTGAAAAATAAGCCCGGCCCGATCTGTCAAATTTCTGAAATTTTCAATCCACTATTCTTTTTAATGCTTTAAAAAAGATCTCTGCTTTTCTAAAAAAATTCATTAAATCAAAAAATATATCCAGTATTTCTTGAACCAAGAATATATAAATCACCTGACTTCACTTTCTGGTTTTTCAATAATTTCTACTGAAATATGAACTAATTATTTATCGTCCAGTCTGGAGAGCTGAAATTAATATTTGTCATGATTTTCGTTTAGTAAAAAATTCTGGCTGATGTCAGACTAGGATAACAAATGTACTTTTTTCGATTCGAAATTGAGTTCCAACTTCTTTGATAACTTTTCAGGTTTCTAAAAATACTTTGGTAAACCGAAAATAATTTTTTTTAAAGTTCTTTATTCGAAACCCCAAAAAATGACTGATATTTTTCTGTAAGAAACAACGAAACAAAACATAAATTACTTAATTATTCATAAAATAAAAAATTTCCTATTTTTCCTCTCCCTAGAACTTGCTAACTCATAAAAATGTTTTCATTTTCTTTGGAAAAAAAAATAACAGAATGAGCACAAAGTCCAACAGAAAAAAGACAATAAGCAAATTAGGTGACTTCCTTCTTTTTCATTTTTCTCCTTCTTGTCACTCATTTTTGTCTCTTTAAAAGTTTTCAAAGTTAGAAACATTGTTATGGTTTGCACTTCGATTTTGAATTTTAAAACTACGAAAAATGACGATTCCATTCCTTTCACCTGCCATTTTTTTGTCATTTTGCTCAGTACAATTGTCTCCAAATTATGCAAAAAGATGAAATCATTGACAGATGAATTTCAAAAAAATTCTGAATTCTTTTAGAGGCGAAAAATGTGAAAAAAAACGAAAATAGGAATTCAAACAATCAGAAAATTATTTTGAGTTTTGGACCTCCCTATAGAAATTGTAAAGCAAAATTTTTTACAAAAAATCAAAGATTAATCTCAATTTAAAAATTCTAAAATGGAGGATCAAAAATAGGCTTTTGTTTGGAGGAAAAAGTGATTGGAATGTTTTGATTTGACAACTAAAAAGATGAAAAAATATGTGAACAAAATATGTTGTTTTACGTAGTTTTTTATTGGGAATTCCTGAAGTTTTCTTGGTTGAGATTCCTTTTTGGCTCTTCTGTACATCTGAAGTTCTAAAAATGTGAACATTTAAAAATTTGGAATTCTGAACTTTCGAAACTCTTAGATTCTGAGATTCTGAGATTCTGAGATCCTGAAATTTTGAAGTTATGATTTTAGAGAATGAGAAACTCTGAAAATTTGATATTTTGAAATGCTGATGTTGAGGTTCTGAATTTTTCTGAAATTCTGAGATTCTGAGATTCCGAGATTCTAAGATTCTGAGATTCTGCAATTCTGAAATTCTGAAATTTTGAAATTCTAAGATTCTGAGTTTCTGAGTTTCCTAGATTCTAAGGTTCTGAGTTTCCTAGATTCTAAGATTTAAGAGATTCTGAGATTCTGAGATTTTGAGATTTCGAAATTCTGAGATTCTGAGACTTTGAGATCTGAAATTCTGAGAATTTGAGAATTTGAGATTCTGTGATTCTAAAAATCTGGGATTCTGAGATTCTGTGATTCTGAGATTCTGAGATTCTGAGATTCTGAGATTCTGAGATTCTGAGATTCTGAGATTCTGAGATTCTGTAATTCTAAAAATCTGGGATTCTGAGATTCTGAGATTCGGAGATTCGGAGATTCTGAGATTCTGAGACTCTGAGATTCCGAGATTCTGAGATTCTGGAGCTCTGAGATTCCGAGATTCTGAGATTCTGAGATTCTGCGATTCTGGAGCTCTGAGATTCTGAGATTCTGAGATTTTGAGAAGAAATAATGTTTTTTTGGAATCTGATTGTGGAATTCACCAATTAAGAAATTATGAAATTTTTGATAATTTGGTTTCAGTATTTTGAAAGATAAGGAAAGTTGAGATTCCTGATGTTTTGATTGGATCTGGAAGTATTTTTTTTTTGAATTTGTGTTTTGATTTTCATTCTTCCAATTAAAAAAAATGTAGCTATACAATTCCTATTGGACTGAGTCAATGTTTTTCATAATTTAAATCAGTTAGTCAATCATTTTCAAATTGTATCTTTCGAAATTTGACCACCCTGATTGTTCATACAATTCATATCTCCAAAAAAAAGATACCACCCTCTATATTTTTCGGACACATCAAAATCATCTCTGGTTTAGAAGGAAGTTCATCTCAATCCTTTAATTTACACGATCCTTTAAATTTCTAATCTCTATCTTGCACTTCCCTGTCTATGCTTGAACTGAAGCCATGTAGTTTTCGAAATTTTGCAAAATGTTTTCCAGAAACCCCCTGCCATAATTTATTAGCACGCTCTCTCTCTCACAAGGTTCATTCCAATCACTCATGAATTTCCAGTCTCCAGACTTTCCGAAATTTCTCAGAATCCCGTCATACTGTATTTTTTCTACTCATTTTTTGTCTGTTTTCAATTCCAGAAGCCTAGCCACGTCACCTATGCTTTTGGATATATTCATAAAAAATACTCAGTGAGCTAGAGACGCAGACAATTCAATTAAACCCTTGTTACTCCAAAGAAAAAGGGGCGGAGCCTATGGGTGATATGGAGATATAAAGAGGGTGGAGAGAGAAAGAGTGACTAAACCTGCCTTCTTCCTTTTTCTTCATCTCCACTGCTAGCTGCCAAACAACAGTACTGACTTGGCTGCTTTATTGACTCAATTGACGCATTCTCTTTGTTTTCCAGATTTTTTCCACGTATTTCTCTCCAGAATTAAATTTACCTTATATCATTACAGTAATCCCAAATCTTATCACCTCTTTCCTTTCTCTCGAATAACAACTCAGTCAGCATTCCATTATTTCCAGTGGTGTCACCTTCTTCTTCATTTCCGAATGTCCAACTCCATGATCTATCTACTCTTGGTCGTCGCCGTTCTCACCACAGTCGTCGATTCAAAAAAGGATTGCTCATCGATTCGTGGGTGTGATGAGGATGTGTCTCCAGTCGACTTGGGACTCGTTCTCCCGCCAGAACTCTACGAGTCGACTCGTCTTGCTAATCTTCTGGCGAGACCATCGTCTCAGTTCAAGAGTGAGTCTGTTCTCTTCTTTTTTGTTTCTTTTTGAGTGGGTAGGGAACAAAATTAGGTTAACTAACGGGGATCTTCTTATTGGAAGTTGTGTGTCTTGTTTGGTTTGAGAGGTAGTGGTCTAGTGGAAAAACTTCCTGTTTTAGTGGAAAAACTTCCTATTTTAGTGGAAAAACTTCCTATTTTAGTGGAAAATCTTCCTATTTTTTGCATAATTCATATTGAATTTATGAACTTTAGGACTCCGAAAAAAATGATTCAACTTTTCCTAGTGATCTGAAAATTTCCGACTGCTTTTAAGTCTGAATACTGGAAAAATCTATAGGGCCAAAATTTTTGCCAAAATTTGAGGTTGAAACATCTATTTTGAAAGTTTGGCTGAAATCGGAAATTCCAGGCAAAGCTTTAAAAAATCTTCTGTCTCGCCTCCTTTAAGGCTTTTCAGACCTTCCATGTAACCTCTAAATTTTACCGGGAGAGCCAAAATCTTGAAATTTTGTTTGGCCAGATTTAGTACTCTACATTTGAGTTTCCGTATCCCAGTTACATGATCTTTATGAATATGAAAAAAACATGAAACTATGCCAGAACTTTCGAAAGCTAAATAATCCAAAAATAACACCGAAGCTCAAAATCAATTTCCAAACTCTTAGAGATCAAAAAATTACTTTGAAGGTGGTGAACGGTGAAATTTTTTATTGCATCAATATGTGCAGAAATGCATGTAGATTGACATAAAAATAAAGAAAAAAGTCAAAAAAAATCCTTCATCGAGATAAACGCATCGAAAAATACGCTGAAAGCCCTCAGGGACGAGGTTTTTTCTAGGCCGCCCGGCGAGTAAAAGCGCGCGAATTCAAACTTTTAAAAATTTTTCGCTCGTTTTCTTTGTTTTTTCAAATTTTCCGATGTATCTGGAAGATAAATTGACAAAAACCAAGAAAACTCTTGAAAAAACAGAAAAAAATTGAAAACGAGCGAAAAAATTTTAAAAGTTCGAATTCGCGCGCTTTTACTCACCGGGCGGCCTAGAAAAAACCTCGTCCCTAAGGGCTTTCAGCATATTTTTCGATGCGTTTTTCTCGATGAAGGAATTTTTTTGAATTTTTTCTTTATTTTTAAGTCAATCTACATGCATTTCTGCACATTTTGATGCAATAAAAAATTTCACCGTACACCACCTTTAAAACCTAAACTTCTAAGCTAAAAAATTTCAAAAAATATATAATTTTTAATATGTCAAAATACACTCAACCACTTGATTTGACAACGTAATGAACTTTCATCTCAAAAAATGATTTTTCTGGTGCTCAGTGACCAAAAAAAATCCTCGAAAATTGAATTGAAACTTATTGGAACAAACTTATACTTTATTGGGTTAGTGAAATGTACGTAAGCCGAAAATGTCCAAGTTTTTGGAATAAAGTCAGGTGGCCTTGAAATCAATGATTGATCTATCTAAATGTCGATTTGTAGTGATCTAGAAAATTCTGAACAATGTTTGGTCCAGAATTCTAAAACTTTTATTTTTTTTTTATAGTGAATAGCTGGGGTTTTCACCACCTGATTATTCCAAAATCCCAGAATTTCGCTCTCGTTTGTTATCTAATCATCTGGGTTGACACATGTCCAGTTAATCAAAAAATTGTTTTGCACTCAAAAATAACATTTTTGAAACAAGGAAGTCATGCGACTTGGGTGGGGATATAATCTAATATTGCTTTAACTTTTTGACTCAACATTTTAGAATTCTAGACACTTCGAATTTTGTTAAAAGTCGAAAATTCAGAACCACAAATCTCAAATTTACAATTTTCAGTGAAAAGAGACTACGATTTCGTTCGATTCGGAAGATCTGCTCCAATGAAAAAAGCGTCGTACGATTACATCCGATTCGGACGGAAATGACCGTTGTTTCTCTGATCCTCTGCGTCTCTCTGTAAATCCTGTGTGCCATAAAATGCTCTCTCTCTCATCATCATGCCTTCTTCATCCACTCAAGTAGATCCACCATCGCAATTCTCCACTGTATTATTCCCCCCATAAGCACCATCTGACATGTGATACGCATTAATACCGCTTATGAATCATATTGTGGCCTCTCGCTATCCTTCATCTCGAATAAAAACGCACCGTTGACTTTATATTTCTTTTTCAGAAGAAGTCAAACTTCAGATGATTGATTCAGAATTCCAAGAGATTTTTATTCCAATTTCTCTAAATCTCTTTCAATTACTGCAATATCTAAAAAGACGAAGGAGCAGGTGAAAGTGAGAACAAGCGGTGACGGCGTGTTTTCAGCTGTTCCATTTTTCAGCATTTCGGAGTTTTGAGGTGCTTGAAAAGGTTGTAAAGTGATCGATAATATCGAAGAAATAGGAAAAATGAACAGAAAAAAGGAGTGAAAGGTGTTATTCTGGTAAAAAAAAGGGATATTTGAAAGAGAAACAGCGGTGGCTGTGGCCGAAAACCTAAACATACCGTAAACACTCTAATAGAAGTCCACCCAAACCGCTAACTTTGAACCCAAATATCAGTCGTACCAGGGATGAGAACTCGGAAAATGAGAACTCAGTTTATCAGCTCTAACTTCCGGCTCAGGATCCAACTTTTTTAGGAAAATATTTTCGAAATAGTCTCGGTCTTCACAAAACGTTAAGATTTTCCAAAAATCCCTGTTTTTACATGTATTTTACGAATTCTTATTCGTAGGAGTTTTTATTTGTATCAGTTCTTATTTTCCGAATTCTCATCGCTGGTACCACCCGAATATCTCGGTTTTTGAAAAGATATGAAAAAGTGGTCAACTGATAAAATGTTTATCATTATGTCAACAATAATTTGTCAGTTGACCAGTACTTGATATCTTTTACAGAAACCGACACATATATGTAGGTCCAAATTTGATGGTTTGGGAGGCGTTCTTAGAGTGTTTACGGTATTTATATATTTCGTTGGTATCCGTTGGTACATAAATATTGAATTATTCGTTTCCAATGAAATATTTTTTGTTTGAAATTATTGTTTGGAACTAATCATTAGGAATATGACCTAGTTTTGATACCTTCAGAAATTTTTAATAAAATTTATTACTATTTGTGATACTAACCAACTAGCCTAACCTTCCCTTAACATGACCTTGACTTCTTGGTCAATGTCAGTAGAACAGGAATGAAGAAGATAAACTCGAATTCCAGAAGATTGTAGAAACCAACAATCCGGAAATCAATATGCTCGTAAGTATTCTTTGTAATGTTTTAGCTTCCACGAATTATGGTTTTTTTTCAGATCGGCCTATTTGTTAATCTCGTCGTGAGACCATTTAGAAGGCTGTTATTTGGATCAGACCCTCCACCGACAACTACAACGGCTCCAATTACTACACTTCCTCCACCTGGAACAACTCTTCCTCCTGTCACGACAGGACCACCACCAACGACTACTACAGAAGCGGGATATACCATCATGATCCTTTTCTTTCTGGGAGTCGTTGCTCTTCTGATTTTTAGTTCCGCTGGCGGCGTGTTTTTCTACATGCAGAACAAAAAGAAACAACAGATTCCACAAGGAGCTGTCGTCGAGGACACAGAGTCTGGAACTACGACTGGTGAGACCTCGGGAACCACTGGAACTACTGGGACAACTGCTAGAAGTACAATGAGAAGCACTACTCGAAGCACCACAAAAAGTACCACTGGAACCAAGATGAAGGGAAAGAAGAAGAGAACTTCGTCTACTATGCATTAATTTTGGAAGTTAACTTTACTTGGTTTTTTATGGATTTGAAATAGATTTATTCTGTTCAATGTTTTGAAGAATAAACTTTTTGTATTTTTTGAGCATTCCATTTTTAAAAGTTTTTTTTTTGAAAAATACTTTTAAAGAGCTCAACCACTTTTTGAGCAAAACAGAGTGTTCAAACACATTTCTGTGAAATTTTGAAAATTGTGGCATATTTTTTACTTAACATGTAAAAGATAGCGACCACAGAAATAGGGACGGAGCCTAATTTTTTCCGGGGGTGTTTTGGATGCTTGACTGGCTGTAACTACGGCTCAAAGAAACGGATCGATATGAAAATGCGTTCCCTTATGCAATCAACTATGTAGATTTTGAATATGTGGTTGTTTTTATCTGAAAGTGAACCTGACATGTTGCAGAAGGCCATTAAATCCATTAGTTGTCCATTAGTTCTATTAAATTTTTAATTCTCATTATTAGGGATTTTGTATTTTCAAAGCTAACTTGGGTAAGTTTATAGACTTGTATCAAGAAAAATTGTTTATTAGAGAACCGAACAAATAGATTACATTCAGAAATGTAGATTAAAGTTTCAATCCACAGCAACTACAGTACTAACTTTCTTCACTTTGCTTTTCTTCTTTTTGACTCCAGTGTTCACACTTCTCGTTGTGCTTTTTGTTGTGCTCTTTGATGTCAACCCCACGACGGATCCAGACTCAACTTCTACAGTTCCTGATGATGAGTCTGCCGGTGCACCTGGTGCCACTTTCTTCTTCTTGTTCCTCATGTAGAAAAACACTCCTCCAGCCGAACTGATGATCAGAAGAAGAACAATAATAAAACATACAAGCATGGCGACTATGAAGGATTTTTCGGTGGTAGTTGGTGGTGGAGCAGGAGTTTTTCCAGATGGTGGAGGTGTTACTGGAGCAGAAGTTGGGGCTGGAGACGGTGAGTAGATTATCTCACCGAATGGTGTGACGAAGACCCTGTCAAACCATCGGAACTGAAATTTAAGTTGTTCAAATTCTGAATGGTGGACATGAAGAACTTACAAACCAGAAACCCATGTTTATTTGAAATTCAGAAGAATAGTATAAATCGTGTTTTGAAGTTTGGCTTGAAAAAGTTCGAGTTACATCCTCTGGTCACCGGGGTCATGAAATCAGAGCAATATTCCAGAAAGTTCATTTTTACAGGTTCAGGTTTCGACACAGACAAAAAATTTGACATAAGCAAAACATCTTCTTTCAGGAGTATCGTAAACATTCTAATGTTGCTACCCAGCATTATAATACCAAAAATATTTTTAGTTGATTTCTTTCTGATCTTGCACAGAAAATGAGATATACGTTCTTAAAGTTGACGGGTTGGATGGCGCTGTATTAGAATGTTTATAGTAATTCTAACAAGCTCTTGTAAGGTTCTAGTTTTTTTAGCAGTCAAAACAAAAGCTTCTGAAATCATAATTCATTATTAAAACAAGTAAAGTTACCAATCAAGTATAAATAATCATAGAAAGTACAAAAAAGAGTTCAACTAGTAGTGGTACCACTTTCTCCAGATTTTGTTTTCTTTCCCTTCGTCTTCTTCTTCTTTTTCTTTGCTTTAGTTTCTCCAGTAGTTGTTCCAGATGTCTCACTTGCGCCGACTGATCCTGATTCCACTGTAACTATAATTGGACTAGCAGCACCTTCAGCTGTGTCCGGCTTCTTCCTTAGACTTTTGATGATGAAGAATATTCCAATGAAACTGATTCCTAAGAAAACGGCGAGAACAACCAGAAATATTATTATGTCGGTTCCAGCAAGTTCAGTTGTTCCATCAATAGCTGCGGATTTTGGAGTGTTCAGAGGACTCGCTGGATTCGCTGGATTATTCGGAGCAATCGGAGAGTTTGCGGGATTCGCACCAGGCGCCGGTGTGGTAGTGGTTGTTGTTGTTGTTGTAGTTGTAGTTGTAGTTGTAGGCGGTGGTGATGGACCACTAAATATGGATCCAACCTCATTGAGACCCGTAACGACTACGTTCTCGACTGCTCCAGTAACCACTGAAACTGCTGCACGCTGGGAAAATTGTCATGATCTTGGCAATCAAACTTTTTAGCCTCTTACCATTTCGCAAAGTTTGTTGAATTCTGCTGACCACTCTTTGAAGATCGGTTTTTATGCTGTGTCTCTGGGGGCATGCTCTGGTCATGGTGGTCAGCAGAACAGGGCAAAAACTGAGGTCTCTAGAGGGGGGGGGGGAATAGTACAAGCCGTAAAACCTATTTTTATTTTTCAAAAAACGGTCCTCCTTTTACAGGGGCCTTCTATTTTTCCTGGTTTCATTACTGAATAATCACATAAGACAACTCGTTTTTTTTAAAGCCGTATTACTCTGGTCTAATTTCAAAGTTTTTGTTGCGGCCGAAAATTCGAGAGCGGGATGAAAATCTGATAACGAAATCGTTAAAGGAGCATTTGAAGGAGCATGGGTATCTTTTTTTAACCGTTCAGAAAGCGATTCTACTAAAGGGGGCACTTTTAATATAGGCTAACACAGATCTTAATTTACTTTTTCTAGACCTGTACTTTGGTCTTTGAGTTTAAGAAAGTCTGCAACACGAAAATGTTTTATTAACGAGTAAAGAATACAAAAAATCTCAATCAGTGAGAGTAATAAAAGTGTCTTCAAGTGATGACTGTGTCAACATGAAATCCTTGACATGCAACTTTTTCGCCAACTTCTCCACCTTCTCGTACTTCCTCGACCATTTATCACCGGGCCTTTTTGGCAGCTCCCATACCAAACTAGTCGTGATATTTGTCAACGCTGTCTTCAGAACAGCCTCTTTCATTTTCTTCTGAACTCCTTTTATGACTCTCTCGCGTTCACTAATTTTCTTGACCATAAGAGTCATTGTGTAGGTGTTTCCATATTGGGATTTGAGATCTTGACTTGTTCCGAGAGCAATCATTTCTCCTTTTCGAAGGATTGCAATTCTGGAGAAATTCTCTTTCTCTACATCTCACCTCAAGCGCCTCAATACATTTTAAGTCAGGAAGAATAGAATCGAACTGGGGACAATATCCAACATACTGAAATACAAATCAATTGCCAAAATTATTCAGAAAACATAATTTACATTATGTTTGACCACATCTTTTCCATCAATGACCGCAGATCCTCCACTTGGAAAACGAAGTCCTGTGAGAATATCAAAAGTGGTCGTTTTTCCGGCTCCATTTGTTCCAAGAAGTCCAAAACATTCATTGTTTCTGACTGTTAGACAAACACCATTCACGGCACGGAAGGTTCCAAATACACGGACAAGATCCTAAAAATTTATAGCGTTTTTCAAAACTATCGTAAACTCTCTAATAGAACGTCATCCCTAACTTTCAACTTTGAACCATTATATCTCGGTTCCTGTGAAAGATGTCAAAAATTGATCAACTAATAAAATGTTAATCATATTATGAGTAATTATAGCTTTTTCATATCCTTTACAGAAACTGAGGAGAAAATTGACTTAAAGGAGGCCCTTTTTTACCGTTTTCACGGTAACTGTCAGTTACTCACCTTAACCACAACCGTACAATTTTTGACTTGGGGTCGATGAACAAGCTGCTCCTCGAGCATTACTGCCTTGCATGGAGCCAGTCTCTGAAAACAGATTTATTAAGCACAAAACCAAGAAGTATATAAGTCACCACAGGTTTCTTCGGAATCGGCTTCTTGGCACTGTGTCTCATATCAAAAATGGCAACTTTTGTGGCTCGATTTTGCATAGCGTATACTGTAACGATTGAAACAAAAGAAGCCAGACCAAGGAAAAAATAAGTCGCGAGCTGAGAAAAAACTGTTTTAGCTAAGTGAAGACTCAGAAAACTAACTTAGGCCATTCCAGTCCCAGATCTTTTTGAACTCAACCATTTGACTAAGCATTCCTTCTGGATCCTTTTTCAGCTCCTCTTCAATTGTTGTCTTGAAAAACCCAAAGAGAAAAGCACTAGGTGGGCAGAGGATGTAGAATATTGGCTGAAAATATTTTCAGCTCACGAGGAGGCACACATCAAAGAGACATACCGTAATAACATTTGAGACTTTAGATTTGATAAAAGATAAAATCATCATAGTCAAAACAATGATTATTCCCAAGACCATTTGGTAGAGAACAAGGAGCGTCGACGCTTTGGCTGGCGATTCAAAGACTAAAGAAGCCACATAGGTGATAGGAAGAATGGCAAGTAAAAGTACGGAGTAGACCAAAATGATTCTAAAATTTTTTTATAGATCATTATGTTTTGGTTCTTCAAACTCACAAAGGAAGGCAGTTCTGGTATCGACCGAACGCCAAAAAGATCAGTATAGTTTCAACACAGAAAATGATAAATATCAAAGAATCCCATAAAATGTTGGCTGACCAGAAGATCATTTTTGACATTCCTGTGAGATGTTGTTGATGGGAAAACTTGCAAATTCTCTCTTCAATCGAAAATTGAACGAATGGAGCAGTGACCAAAGCGAAGCCAAGCATAAGGAAGAAAGGAACAAAGAGGAACATCATGAACTTGTTCTAGAAAGCTTTGAAGATATATTTTTCTATCGAGAGTTTGAAATCTTACGGTGGCTTCTTCTTTACTTGATGTTAGCCATTTCAATTCAACATTGTATGGACCATGTTCGGAATACCAATTGGCGGCGAGTGTGGTTAGAACTGGAGAAGCACGAGTGACCGCATGGTTATAAAAGATTCTGGCTACATTTTCAGATACCATCACAATGAATCCTAGTTTCTCTTTCTGAAAAAAATAAATTTTTATTTTAAAATTAACTACCGTTAATGTTCGCATAGTTATTCGGACTCTATTTTGTACTAGCATGAAATTTGAATAAAGCGTTGTACTGGGTAAACAAACTCGAATATTTCATCAGTAAACTGGCCAAGTTTCAAATCATTTGATCAACTTTGACCTGAATTAACGCTTGTCAAAGTTGCTTCGTCTAATGGAAATCACCATGGTGTGCAAGATAATCATAAAAATACCTTGACTTGAGGTATCGCTTTGAAAATTTCAGTAACTTTGAATCAAACGTAAAATTATATTTCTACCAAGTTTTATTCTTCAAAATTCTTAAGTCTAGAGATATATTCGTTTTTATCAGTGCGGGAAATTGTGCGCCATACTGTATAAGTCCGCCCTATACGTCCACTTTGTAAGCTCAATTATCTCGAATTTATCAACAAATAAAATGTTGATAATTAAAAAACATTTTTTCAGTTGACAAAATTTTGATACTTCTCTTAGAAATTGAGATAATTGAGCTCATTTTTCTTACATAGTACTCTTGCACAAGTTCTTCATGGTCTTTCGCCGCATCGTGTTCTTTCACTGTCAGATGTTTAAACCCTTCTATTTGTGATTTTATCTTATCGTAATGATCCGTTTTTCCAGATCCTTTCATCATGACAACCACCGATTTCGGAAAGATGTTCAAGTCAAGTTTTTCCAATTTCTTGGGTTCTAAAAATTGGAAACATTGTCTAAATACAAAATTTAAACTTACTAGCCGTTTCTTCAACTTTCATGGAATGCAAACCAAATATGACAATAAGAATCGGAATGATGATTTGGAAGAAAAGTTGGTAGATGTTCCGGAGAGTGTAGTAGTACCTTTTGCGAAGCAAGCAAGTGAATTGAGAAGACTGTAGGGCTGTTCCAGTCACTCTTTTGTCTTAAAATTCATTTTGAATGGAAAAATGGTAAAAATAACACTCACTCTTCTTCATTTCCGTTAACATTTCGTAGTTTTTCTCTGCTATTTCCCTCTTATCTTCCAGATTCTTTTCCTTTGCAATCACCAAATCACACTCATCACAAATCCGAATAAAAACTGTTTCCAGAGAACTCAAAGACAATCCTAGAGTTGTGATTTTCAATTTCTTGATTTTTTCTTTCAAAGCACTGGGAAGTTTTTTGATCGGTCCACTTTTGTACTTCTTTTCAATTATTGATTCGAGAACTTTCAGCAGAGGAACCACTTTATTTTTCGCATCCTCTGGAAGTGTCATTTCTATCATCTGTCCTCTTTGGTCTTTCTGAAAATTGAAATTTAACAGAATCCCATCTAAAAATAATTACCAATCGAGAATCCGGAATGATATGGTGGCATATTTCCTTAACAAGTCTCGTTGAATGTTTTCTGTCACTTTTAACATCCAACACCACAGTCAAGACATAACCAGAACCGAATTTCTTCTTCAGGTAGTTCAACGATCCACTAGCAGCCATTTTACCGTACGACATCACGAACACCCAATCTCCTAAACGTTCCGCTTCGTCCATGTAGTGAGTTGTCAGCAGGATTGTTCTGGAAAACAATTATTCTAAATGGATTTCTGAAACTCATTGTCTGAATTTCTGAAACTTTTTACGCTTTCTGGATTTTGAAAAGAAAAATTTGAAATTCCAAAATTTCGAATTCCCTCATTTCTGAACTAAAATTCTCTAAATTATGAGTATCTGAATTTTCCAAATATTAAACTCTAAATTTATCGAATTAATGTGTATCCCAGATTGGGAAATACTGAAACTCTGAATTTCTAAATTCCCGAGTTTCCGTAGACCTTGAAAAAATAAGTCTCTGAGAAAGTAGCAAAACCTCTTTATAAGATTACGGGTACTGTAAGAGCAGGTGAGGAGGTTTAGCCCCGGTGGGACGTAAGTTGGTGTTTAATAATAAATCATAAGTAAATCACCTGTTAACTTTGATCTTTTCAAGCATCATTTGCACATCTTTTCTTGCTCCAGGATCCATTCCAACAGTCGGTTCATCCAGCAGAACAACCTTACTACCTCCGATCATAGCCATACAAACACAAAGTTTTCTTTTCATGCCTCCAGACAAATTTGCAGAATGAGTGCCTGCTTTATCTGCCAACCGGATCGCCTGGAGCAGTTGTTTAGCTTCTCCCAAAAACAAATGAGGTGGTCCTTCTTTCAGAGCATTCACCAGTTCAAGATGTTCCAGAACTGTCAGACGATCGTATAGAGGATTGTATTGGGGACAGAATCCAATGAACTTTCGGGCTTTGTCTTTCTGGCGGACTGCGTCAACTCCAGCAACTTCAATGGATCCTAAACATTTTATGGCTTACTTTCAGTTTTGATTATGTAGACAAACCTGAAGTGGGTAAAGCAACCCCAGAAATCATAGAGAAGGTGGTACTCTTTCCACAACCATTTTGGCCAAGAAGAATGGACACTTGACCACGAATTGCACGAAATGAGAGACCATTCACAGCTCTTTCTCCAGTTGGATAGACTTTGACGACATTGTTCAATTCCACATCGGACACCGCCTTACTTCTCATTTTCACGTTTTCAATACATCCTTCTAGAATCACGTCTTCATCGGACCCGGCCTTCTTTCTACCTTTTCCACCCTGTAACCAGGATATTAATAGAGTTCCTAACAACAATAAACAAACGCTGAATAAATCCTTGATGCCTGACAACTTTCCTCCGTATCGATCGTATAACAATGCGGCTGCAATCATCCAGACAACATCGAAAATCATCATGAGGAAGTAGTATCCAGGTGCAGTTCCCTCAATATAGGTGGTGTCGAATAATGATCCAAACGACAATTTGAAGTTGGCCAACGAATTAATTTGGACTTTTTTCAAAAAATAGTAATACGCATAGTTGATGTTTATGGAGTAGAGAAGACTCAAATCATCTTCGTCTTGGGTCATCGGAAAGAACATTATGATGATCCAGGCGACCAAAGAAGCTAGAAATAAGTAATATTTAAGAACAAAGGTTCTTCAAACCTTCGATTCCACGTTTGGCATTTGTGAAGATGGCAGAGAGGAGAATCGCAAAAGCGATGGCTCCGATGATGTAGAGAATGACACCCATCATCAGTAGGGCAAGGCTTGTGTACTATTATTGGCTCTATTATCTTAAAGTTCAAAAAGTTTTTGCCTACTTTTAGGCCCATGAAATATTTCAATGATCCAATGCATGTGATAATGGACTTGAGGAAAGTGGCAATGAAGTGTTCCAAGTAGAACAACCATCCAGGAAGACCAATTGCAGAGAGATAAGGCTGAAATTTACAATAACTTCCAAAAGAAAATGAAGACCTTCACTTTCACTGTCGACTTCTCTGTCACAACCGTTCGTACTACATTGACTATAGTTACCATCATACTCAATCCAATAATAACATGAAAGTATGGAAGGGCAACCTCTGGAATTTTGACATCTCTCGCTTTTATTTTATTGACCTCTATATTGTCAGATAATCTGTGTTTATCTTTTTTGGGTTTGTCCACCTCTAGGATTGCCTGAATAAAAACGGACGAGAAGAAGTATTTGTCCCCTCTGAAACAGTTAATTTAGTGCTCGTCTAACCTATAGATCTTACTTCATTGACATTGCGTCTTTAAAGTCAGCTACTGGAATTTCACCTACTATCGGAACGAAAACAGTGAAGTCTTTTCCAGAATTGTGCACTATCATGGTTCTTCAAGTATAAAAAATCACAATTTAATGTTTAAACTATCACATACGCTTGCTCACAATCCGCCATTTTTTTGAGCGCGTCGTCTTCGGTGAATTTATATTTAGGATTAACCGAGTCAATGCGACCCATATTATACTCTCCCCAAACTTCATCGCTGCCATTTCTGAAAATTGGACATTGAGCTTAATTTCTTGGTAATTCAAACGGGCGCTATGTTGATTGATGGGGGTGGGCAACCAAAAACTTGAAATATTCTGGAAAAATATTTCAGTAAAAAAAGTGGAAGTTTTGCTGATATTTAGGAACTTCGGTACTTGAATTATTTCCCAGCATATTCAGTTTCTTGTTTTATATTTTCGTAGGCTAAAGTGAGAAATCCGAAAAATGGCTCTATTTGAAAACTTTAGCCCCCCCCCCCCCCCCAACCAGCATAGCGGCTTCAGATGTACCTGAACAATATTTTTGGATCCACTTTTTTCATGTCACAAATTTGGGGTGGAATAAATGCAATAACCGACGTTGCTGAGTAATCGCCTAATTGGTCTATTTCCTTCGTGCCTTTTTGCATTTGATCAGATATCTGAATTTGTGTGAAGTTAACGATAACCATAGTTTTTTCTAGCTCACCGTCTCCATCATACCATTCACAACAAAGAGAATAAATACCGGAAGTAGTAGCTCGAACATGGTCCACACTTTGCTTCGTGTCGCCAGAATTGCATCCTTTTTCAATAGGGCAAGAAGTTTTACCAGCATCTTTTTTCGATGCGGAGACTAATTGAATTTACAAACTGACGATCGGAAGCTCAGGGTGATAATGACCTGACCGACCTTGTGTTGGATGGACGCCTTGATCAGGGATCATCAACCTCTATTGGTCCGATAACCCTTTTTCGTGGTTTTCGAAAAGTTTTTTTTTTTCTACAGAAGAATGAAAATCTTGAGTCAACTATCCGGAATCTGGATTTCGGATCATATTTGTTCAATTATTGGGGTACAAAAAATTGAAACTGTGTCCCACAACGACAACTACAGTAACCTAAAAATATGTGTTTTCTCAGGTGTGATTTTCTCGATGATTTTCGTGCGTTTTTCGTCAATTTTCCGACTTCTTTTCGGGAAAAATTACAGTTCTTTTCCACAGGTCCGATTTTTTATCAAATTGAATACGAATTTCCTTCAAACTTTACATATGCAAAACGGAAAATTTTGAAAACATAAATCTAGAATTCTGGAATTTTGATGAATTTTCAATGATCCCCAAACTAAAACTTCAAAAAAATTGAAAATTTTCCACTTGGAAAAAGTGGAATTTTCAAATTTCTGTGCATTTGTCTCTCAAAAAAGTCTCCAAGCTTAATGAACATTTTTGAATTTTGAGAAATTGGGAAAATATCAAGACATTACTCGGGGTTTCTCGGCAACTTTTTGCAGCACTTCTGCGTACTAGTTTTTACATTTATAGAAAGTTGCCAGACATGACGCAGACAGCTCACAGAATGCTGCAGATATACTGAAAAAGCGACATAGAAAGATTATTTTTATTAAACGACTTGATCACCTTTCTGTAGCACTTTTGCAGCTTCTCTACAGCATTTCCGCAGCCGAGATAGGAGGATCACCTCTCTGCGTCGCTTTCGCAGCACTTTTGTGAGCATTCTGCATCATGCCTGACAACTTTCTATAAATGTTAAAAACTAGGACGCAGAAGTGCTGCAGAAAGTTGCCGAGAAACCCCGAGTAAGAATCTCAAAATACAAGCTTCAAATTTTCACATAATCCAGGTCTCGGTTGTTTGTCATCAGAATTCTGCTGTATCCATGAATTTTATTCGACAATTTTTTTATCGGGAGGTTGTGTAACTGCGCTCAAATCACTGTAATACTACAGTAATATTATCTTTAGTCTCGACGCGAAACTGTTAATTTGAACTGCTGAGTCGCTACTCAGCGGTGCGTGCATCCCTTTGGAGAAAGCGCGCGAAACAATATTTTTTAATGTTCCGGAAAAAAACACCATGATTTGAAATCGTTTTACTTGATTGGAATCACTGTGTATACTTTTATAGGGTGACTGTAGTATTAGAATGCATAAGATTACTGTATTTTTTTAATTCTCTATGTAATATCCGTTATTCCAAGATTGGAAGAGCTCCCCGTCTTCTCACGGCCACGTCAACATCTAAAAAATTACTACTAAATTTTGCTACAGTAGCAAACGTGAGACGAGAACCGAACTACAGAAAAATAAACTTTTATTAATCAGATTTTGAGCAGGAAAAAAGCTCATTAAAAAGTTGGTTGAAAAACGAGTAAAATAAATAGAGCAGTTCGATTACTGCATAGTAGAAGCAGTGGTAGTTGTCTTCTTATTTTTGCTCTTCTTCTTCTTCTTTTTCTTTCCTGCAGCAGTTGTACCAGTTGCTGTACTCACGCAGGAGGTTCCAGTGGTGCCGGTGGTTCCAGTTGTTCCAGTAGTTCCCGATTCCAACTGTTCAGGACTCATGGGTGTATTTACTGCAGCTGCAGCAGCATCCAACTCTTGTTGCTTCGCCTTCTTCTTCTTCATGTAGAAAAATATTCCAGCAGCAGAACAGCACACGAGCAGCAGAAGGAACACGCCAACGATGACGAGGCCCATCGCCATGCGTGCCTCCGTAGTTGTGGACAGCGTAGTCGGTGCCGGTGGTTCAGGAGTGGTTCCAGGAGGTGGGGCCGTTGTCGGTGGTGGTGGCGGCGGTGGAGGTGGTGGCGGTGGAGGTGGCATGATTGTGTTGACGATTTTTGTAGGGACACTCGCGACCCAACGAACAGCATCTCCAAACTGCAAATAAAAGTTCTCAATTGCAAGAAGAAGACTGATTGCAAACTCACAAAGCCCCAGCCCATGTTGAAACTGATGCCTTCTCTGTGAACATCTCTTCCCTTTATAGTGGTTTTGACGGCACTGTATTGGATCCACAGGAACAGAGCAGGTCAGGTTGGTTAGCCATTATTACGGTCACCGCTTGCTCGGTCATGTGAGTTGACGTGATGTTTAGTGAAGACTTTTAAATTTATTCAGATAGTGAAAACGTGGTAGAATTCTTTTTTTTAATAGAAAACATTTGAAAAAAATAACGTTTTCCAGCTATGAGCAATTTATGATTTTCTTTAATTGGCCCGCAGATATCTCACAATTCTTTTAGATGTGGAAGTGATTTGGAGATTCTGAAATTTTTTATTTTTTATTTCTCCTCGGGATAATGTTTTAGGAAAATGTGAGAAGCGGTTCTAACAAAAAAACTAGCAAAAAAGTATGGAGCGTTTTGAGAAAAGGACACGAGTAGCTGGTTCGAAATTCGTGCTCTATTGGTTTTCTGCACACATTCAAAAAGTTGAACTTTCCGTTCGTAAAAATTTATTTGTAGCCTATAGGAATTGAATTAGAAATTATTTTTTACCGGGAAGGATAGAAAAAAGGGTGACGGAAAATGGATGAAAAATAGGAACGAAATGGAAAAAGAAGGGAATTGTTATTAAGAAACATCTGTTCAAGTTTGGATACTGGACCATTTTGGGATAATGATATGTATGCGAGACTTTCGAGTTATCATTTACCAAAAGTTTAGCATTTATTTAAAAAACATATTGATCGTTTTGAGCGCTGAAATTCTTGAGAAACTATCGACGAGAGCAGAGGTCAACTCAAAATTATGAAACGTTGGTCGATCGGAGTTATTATTCTGGCACGAAATTTATGGAAAACGAAAATCGAGAACAAAAGTATTACAGTAGGTTTTTGTTGACTACGGTAGTTCGGCCGTGTCTGCGGCCACCAGATTTTCTCTTCATAAGCAGCAACCAAGCCATCTTTCGAAGTGCACAAAAATTTTGGGATTGTTGTTGTACAAAGCAATTTAAAAGGTAACCACAACACCTCATCACCTCAGATTTCGATCAAAATTCCAGGATAGGTCGAGGGTAGCAAATCTAGACACCCCTGAAAGTTTTAGAATCCGCTGGCAAGTTTCAGCCGAGTTATATGACTTACAGTGCCAAAAATCGCGTTTTCAGTACAAAAATAGCGATTTTCAAAGACGATTTTCTCCGCTCCTAGGAGGCTTCAGAACATGAACATTGTTGTGTCATACTCAGAATTCAACAAAATTTTACATTTCAATCAACTTCTCGAAAAAATTATTTTGAAAATTTTCGAGAATTTTGTCCACTTGTTCTTTTTTTTAAAGTTTCAAACATAAATACAAAAATACTTTTTGATTAAAACATTTTGGAGTTAAGAAGGCAAGTTTTCAAAAATGAATCAGTTATATTTTGAATTAATTTTATCTGTCCTTTATGTGAACGAAGTCAAGAAATATACCTCAAAGAGAAGTCGTTTAAAACTCCCTAATCACAATTACCGTAAAATCTGTAATAGAAAGGCCCCCTAACTTTCAACTTTGAGCCCATTTATCTCGGTCCCTGACAAAGGTATGAAAAAATTGTCAACTGATAAATTGTTTATGATAAAATGATAAACATTTTATCAGTTTACACACTTTTGATATATTGCATAGGAACCGAGATAATTGAGCTCAAACTTGACAGTATCGTGGCCCTTCTACGTGGCCCACAGGTTTTACGGTACATGTAGAAACTTCAAATTGAAATTTAAATGTCGATCGAATAATTTTCAAAGACTATCAGATGAGGGCTGAATTGATGAAAAATAAAATTTTATTAAACAGACATTGAGCAGAAAAACGCTCAAGAAAGAACTGAAAAGGGAGAAATAAAAGAGCAGTTCGATTATTGTATAGTGGAAGCAGCGGTAGTTGTCTTCTTATTACTTTTTTTTTTTCTTTCCTTCGGTGGTTGTTCCAGTTGCTGTACTCGCGCAGGATGTCCCAGAAGCTCCTGTTGTTCCCGATTCCACCTGTACATTTGCAGCAGCATCCAACTGTTGTTGCTTTGATTTCTTCTTCTTCATGTAGAAAATTATTCCAGCAACAGAACAGCCCACGAGAAACAGAAGGACATAATAATGATGGCGCCCAGCGTCGTGTCTTTCTCCGTCGTTGTTGCAAGCGTTGTTGGTGGTGGTGATTCAGGAGTGGTTCCAGGAGGTGGGGCCGTTGTCGGTGGTGGTGGCGGCGGTGGAGGTGGCCGTTGTCGTTGGCCGAAACAGTCTGTTATGACACTGGTGGACAATTTCCAAACATCGATGAACTGCAAACAAGAGTTCTCAAGTGCAAGAAGAAGATTGGTTGAAAACTCACAAAAGCCATGATGAAACTGATGCCTTCTCTGTGAACATCTCTTCCCTTTATAGTGGTTTAGGCGGCACTGTATTGGATCCACAGGAACAGGGCAGGTCAGGTTGGTTAGCCATTATTACGGACACCGCTTGCTCAGTCATGTGAGTTGACGTGAGGTTTAGTGAAAACCTTTAAATTTATTCAGGTAGTGAAAACGTGGGAGAATTCTTTTTTGAACAGAAAATATTGGAATGAAAATCACATTTTAAACTTGGCCAACTTTTTCAGCTATAAGAAACGTCTTGATAATTGGATCATATGTAAATTCTTCAGCTCCACAACTAGCACTAGCGTGCAAGCATAATTTAATCTTTGAAAAATCATAACAATACCTAGACTTGAGGAATCGCTTTGAAAATTTCAGTAGCTTTGAATCAAAAGTAACATTATATTTCTACCAATTTTCGTGCTTTCAAGATACCCCTGTCTAAAGATATACCAGTTATTATCAGTCAGGGTAATTGTGCGCCACCCTGAACTCTCTTTTCAATGTCGTAATCGGTTAAGAAAGTGCAAGAAGTTTCAAGAAATAAACAAATGCTTTCCAATTTCTTCTCATTGAGCAATGCACATGTGTGGCTCAAAGTATAAACAATAAAACTTTGAGGATTAAGAAAAGGATCTTCAGGAAAATCGAAAGCATCAGGAATCAAGCGAGAACTGCCACGTCATAACCCCCATAAAAACTGATGTGAGCTTTATGGTTCCATAGAGTGCCAGCTAGAACTTTTTTTTCGCTTATTTCTCTAATCCTCTTCTAGATCATATATTAGTTCAGTTGACCCTTGGAACACTAGAAAAAAAATCACTCTTCTTCATTTTTCTTCTTCATCCATCCGAGTAGCCACAACACTTCTGAAGTCTCCGGTGGGAGGAGAATGTTGCAATTCGACCATGGCATCTGGAGAAATAGTACGAGGATCAGAGAGACACAGACACTTGATCGGGCGGTGCCTGTTGGCGCGTCGAAGAACTCTGCTCCGTCGTTTAATATACAGAGGAGGAGAAGGATTCGAGAAAGAAGAAGAAGAGAGGAAGGATGAAGTAGGAGAAGAAGAAGTGTAAAGCAGAAGCTTCGAGGCCAGCCGCCAAGAAGACTTTTCCTCTTTTCCTTTCTGTTTCTGTGTTTGCAAAACCTTTTACTAGGGGGAAGGATTCTATTTTTAAGATTTTTCCTTGTCTGAATCTGATAACCTTTTTTTTTAGTTTTGTATTCTTTAGCTACAGTATACTAAAACTTTTTCGATAACTTTCGAATGATCATATGGTTGAACGGTAAACACTACAATAGAGCGCCTTTCAGCTTTAAGCCAGTTTCTCGGTTCCTGTGAAAGATATGAAAAAGTTATCAACTGATGAATTGTTTATCATAAGATGGCCAAATTGTTATCAGTTGACAGATTTTTGATATCTCTCACAGTAATTGAGATAATTGAGCTAAATCTTGACAGTGTGGGGTCGTGTTGAAACCTCAAAGTATAAAAAAGTACAAAACATTTCTGAAACTCTAAACTCTTTTTCTCCGTAGACACCTTCTCTCCCGCCCTTGCTGACCCCTTTATCGCAGTGTATAGTGAAGAAAAAGAGGGAGAAGCAGTGACCTCGCACAGTTGGCAGATATTGCTGACAGCTCATCGTCTCCCTCTCTTCCTATATCCTCTCTATTCAATCGATCAGTTGGCTCTTCAATCAAAAGTTTGAAGCAAGGCAACAGAGAGACAGAATGTGTGTGAGTGGGAGCAAATTTTGATAAAAGACGGATGAGATTGGACTAGAGGAGAGGGATTGCGTGAAAGTTGATGTGCACTCTCTTTTCATGTGTTTTATGAACTATCACATTGATGGATTACCGTAGTTGTTTGATTTGATTGTATGTATAGGACATGAACTTTCTGAAACCTAAAAACTTTAAAGAGAAAGGGACTGTTAGTTGTCGAGGGAGTCGCAAAGATACAGGCTGACTAGACAAGTCAAAATCGGAAAACCGTATCTCCTCTAATAGAAGCTCACCCATACCGTCCACTTTGAACTCAATTATCTTGATTCGTATCAGCGATATGAAAAAATTGTCAACTGATAAACTGTTTATTATAAAGTCAACAATATTTTATTAGTTAACTTTTTTTTTTGGTATCCTTCACAAGAATCGAGATAATTGAGCTCAAAGCTGACGATTGGCTTCTAGTAATTGGTGGTATCAGAGGAAATACTGTATACAATTTTTTTGATTTTCCAAATCATAACCTGGTCTTGTCTATCTCATGTTGTAGATTAATTTTGGATCAAACAGTTCTTTTGTTCGGGATTTCGAGATAATTGAAAATCCCAATAAAAAAATTGGGATGGACAATTTATGAGATTGTTACAAAACATTTAACAATAGTATCGCAAATTTTTTTGGAATAAATATATTATTTTGAAGAAAACTCACCATAAACAAAGTAATAGGAAGGACCTCTAACTTTGAGATAATTTATCTCAGTTTCTGTGAAAGGTATAAGAAAGTTGTCAATAAACTGTTTATCACAATATCTATAATATTTTATCATTTGATCCATTCTCGATATCTTTCACAAAATGCGAGACAATTGAGCTCAAAGTTGACGAGCTTCTATTATAGGAAATACGGTATTTACAGCAAATTCATAAACTCAATCATCAAAATTTTTGTATTACAAATTAAACAATTTAGCTTTCCTCAATAGGTAACAATAAGTTGTTGATACTGATTTTCATCAAAGCTAGATTTTTGTGATCCGGTCTTTCTTTTACAATATTTTTAAAATTTCTTCCTTGAAATCTTTATTTATCCTCAAAACGATTGAAAAATTCAAAAATGGGTCGTGTTTTAACCATAGTGAAGTTTAAAATATCCTGAACATCTTACAATTAGTTTAAATTTCACAAGTTGAACACTTCTTTTAATTTTAGAATTCAGAAGTTTCGGGGAATCTTCATTCTTTTGATATCATTCTTTTGAATATTAGAAGCCCACCCAATACGCTTTGAGCTCAATTATCTCAATTCCTTCAAATGATATCAAACAATTTTTACAGATAAAATATTTATCACAACCCCAGCAATATTTTATCAATTGACGGATTTTTGACATCTCTCACAGGGGCCGAGATAATTGAGCTCAACGTGCACGTGTCGGGTGGGCTCCTATTAGAGCATTTACCGTATCCATCCCGTTAAAATAAATTTTCTTTTCGATTCTCCCTCTTGTCACTTCTGTTTCCATCTGACCCCAAATGAACCCTACGATTCGTATTGTTCAGCTGTTCTATTTCATTATTTCTCCTGCTGGTTTCAGTGTCATCTCGAGACAACATACAAATTCTCCTTCTCCTCAAACAGACATACAAAACCAAATCGAAACGAGAGACAAATTTCTCCAGATGTTTAGTAAAAAAATGACGAAGTGCGACGATGTACTTGCTCCGCTTCGTCCATCATTTTTGTTATAAATCGTTCCCCTTCTTCATTCCGAATCGTCCTTCCCCTTCTTTTTCGTTTTGCAACACATCGGTTTGCGAAGAGTTAGCCGGCTGTTGGCCACGGGGAAAAGAGAGCAGCTTCTCTGGATGATTGAGAAGAAGGCATCGGGATGAGGACGAAGTGTAATGTGTAATGCTCCTTTTCATTTTATCACAGATTTCCAACCACCAACTTTCTTTCGATTTTTTTTCAGCCAAAGTTAAATATTGGTTTACAGTACTTTTTACATCTGATACAGTAGAAGACATTGTCACATCTAGTGGGCGGTTAGTGGTTCCTACAGTTTGCTATGGATCATTATGGATCTCACTATCATTATGGATCGTACTTTTTTAATTTTTAAAATCATCAATTTAAAGAATTTAACTATGGAAGACTATGGAAGATTTCAAAAAATATTCTTTAGGATTTTTCTTTCGAAAATTTCGAATTTTTTAAACTCGACTCAGGATTGGCTAGGAAGAACCTCAAAATATCAGAGTCGCTTTCACGGTCGAAAAAAATATTTTTTCTCAAACAGAAAAAAAAGTGATTACCCCCTGAAATGAATGTCACCTTATACTTGTACTTTGAGCTCAATTATCTCGGTTCCTATAAGAAATATCATAAATGTGTCAACTGATAAAATATTGGTGATATTATAACAATCATTTTATGAGTTGAAAACTTTTTTATATCTTTGACAGGAACTGAGATAATTGAGCTCAAAAAGAAAGTGTTTCCGGTATTTTGAATTAAAATAACATTTAAGCACATACAGTTTTTCTTCGTTCTCAACTCCTTCCAACCCAATTTTAGCCTCTTCATCTGTTTAAGACAAAACAATGTTAATGTTTCATTTCCAGAACGACACCAATCTTTGGGTAACGAGAAGTCGATCCCCGTGACACCTAACAAATGTCGCGCTTATCGCTTCTCGGCTTGACGGCAGCCGTCGTGCTACTGTCGTCGTTCTACACGGATAGGTGAGTAGCTTATAAAAACCATTCAAAATTCATTTAAAACGTTTTCAGGATACATGTGGATGCTGCCGCTGCATGCAAAGGATGCGCTCCACCATGCGTATGCCCAGGAACCAAAGGAGAACGTGGTAATCCAGGATTCGGCGGTGAACCAGGTCATCCAGGAGCACCAGGACAAGATGGACCAGAAGGGGCTCCAGGAGCCTCTGGAATGTTTGGTGAGTTTCTTTAAAAAACTTCTTAATGAATCAAATATTGAAATTCCTTTGGAACGGCATCGTCGATGTTTTGTCCTGTAAAAGAAACAAAAAAGTTATCAGCCGATAACTTCCGGAATATCCTCAAATGGTCTCATTTGAGCCCATATATCTCATTTCCTATAGGAGATATCAAAAATTTATCAACTAACAAAATGTTTATCATAATACCAGTAATATTATGTTAGTTGGCCACTTTTTGATATCTCTCACAGGTACCGAGATAAATTGGCTCAAAGTTAAAGGGAGGGGAGTTATTGTATATAGAGTGCTTATGGGACCTGAAGAATTATAGTTCAATTTGACCCAATATATTTTAATCACTGAAAATGAAAATTCTCCATTTTTCTAACCCTTTTTTTCTTCAGGAGCCGAAGGAGACTTTGGAGACGTCGGAGCAAAGGGAGCTCGTGGAGACCGTGGTCTTCCCGGATCACCAGGACACCCAGGACTTCAAGGACTCGATGGATTACCCGGTATGAAAGGAGAGGAAGGAATCCCAGGATGCAACGGAACTGATGTAAGTCTGACCTTGGAGACTGACCTTTTGAAAAGTAAAGTGGACAACAAAAACTCTGAAATTGGATAAGTCTGTCAGTTGTTGTTAGTGTTTTGAGCGCATAGAAACTTGACTGAAATCTGCCACCACAAAAAAAACGGGGAGAAAAAATGAGTTAGAGAGAAGTGTCGGGATGAGTCGGTATGTGTGCAGCCGATGTGTAATGTCATGACTCATCCAATAGCCTCCTTCCCCCTCAACCAAGATGCATCGCACTATCATTGATCATAACTATTTCAGGGTTTCCCCGGAATCCCTGGACTTGCTGGACCACCAGGACAACCAGGACCAAATGGAAATCAAGGACGACCTGGAATTCCAGGACCACCTGGAGAGGGTGGAGTCAATTCGCAAGGACGTAAAGGAGTGAAAGGAGAATCTGGAAGACCAGGAGTTCCTGGACTTCCTGGTAACTCCGGATATCCAGGATTGAAAGGAGCCAAGGGAGATCCAGGACCGTACGGTCTGCCAGGATTCCCAGGAGTGGGTGGATTGAAAGGAAGAATGGGAATGAGAACTTCTGGAGTCAAGGGAGAAAAGGGATTGCCAGGACCGCCAGGACCACCAGGACCACCAGGATCCTATCCATGGGCCTCCAAACCAATTGAGATGGAGGTTTTGCAAGGGCCAGTTGGACCAGGAGGTAGGGCATTTTGATTGAAAAGGAAAATTTTCAAAATTCGTGTTTTACAGGAGTGAAAGGAGAAAAGGGACGTGACGGACCAGTCGGACCACCAGGAATGCTTGGACTTGACGGTCCACCAGGATATCCAGGACTCAAGGGACAAAAGGGAGATCCAGGAGATGCCGGACAACGCGTAAGCATATTTTCCCCTATTTTCTGAAAAACTATAACTTTTCGAATTTCAGGGAAAGCGTGGAAAGGATGGAGTCTCTGGAAGCTACGGAGAGAAGGGAACTCAAGGAGAGCAAGGAGTTCCAGGAACACCAGGATATCCAGGAACTAAGGGAGAAGCTGGAGAGCCAGGATACCCAGGACGGCCAGGTTTCGAAGGAGATTGTGGACCGGAAGGACAACTTGGAGAGGGAACTGGAGAAGCCGGACCACGTGGAGCTCAAGGATTCGATGGAGTTCAAGGAGCCAAGGGACTTCCAGGACACAATGGATTGCCAGGACCAGTCGGACCAAGAGGACCGGTTGGAGCTCCAGGAGCACCAGGAATGCCAGGAATCGATGGAATGCCGGGATACACCGAGAAAGGAGATAGAGGAGAGGATGGATATCCAGGATTCGCTGGAGAGCCAGGTCTTCCAGGAGAGTCTGGAGACTGTGGTTACCCAGGAGAGGATGGACTTCCAGGGTATGATATTCAAGGACCACCAGGACTTGATGGCCAATCTGGAAGAGACGGATTCCCAGGAATTCCAGGAGATATCGGAGACCCAGGATACTCGGGAGAGAAGGGATTCCCAGGAACTGGAGTTAATAAAGTCGGACCAGCAGGAATGACTGGATTGCCAGGAGAGCCAGGAATGCCAGGACGCATTGGAATGGACGGATATCCAGGACCACCAGGAAACAACGGAGAGCGAGGAGAAGACTGTGGATACTGTCCAGATGGACTTCCAGGAAATCCAGGAGACGTTGGATATCCAGGAATGAATGGATATCCAGGACCACCAGGACCAAACGGAGATCACGGAGACTGTGGAATGCCAGGACTTCCAGGAAAGCCAGGAGCTCCAGGGGCTGACGGAATCAATGTAAGTATTAAGCAATTATCTACAAATTTTCAAACAGTAAACGTTTTCAGGGATCCCCAGGACTTCCAGGAATTCCAGGATATCCAGGAATGAAGGGAGAAGACGGAGAGATCATCGGACCAATGGAAAACCCAGCTGGAATTCCAGGTCTCAAGGGAGATCGTGGTCTTCCAGGACTTCCAGGACGTCAAGGAAATGACGGGCTCCCAGGACTTCCAGGATCACCAGGACAAGATGGATTCCCAGGACTCAGAGGAGAACCAGGACTCTCTGGTATTGATGGAAAGAGAGGACGTCAAGGATCGGTAATTATTTCTCTTATTGTTTTTTTAACGTCTCAATTTTTAGCTCGGAATCCCAGGACTTCAAGGACCACAAGGAGACTCTTATCCAGGACAACCAGGAACCCCAGGATTCAAGGGAGAAGCTGGAGCCAACGGACTTCCAGGACTTCCAGGGGCCCAGGGACCACGTGGTATTCCAGCTCCACTGAGAATCGTCAATCAAGTCGCCGGACAGCCAGGAGTCGATGGTATGCCAGGACTTCCAGGAGACAGAGGAGCTGATGGACTTCCAGGACTTCCAGGACCAGTGAGTTTTTGAAAAAAAACATTTTCAACAAAGTGCAAAATTTCAAAACAATCGATATATCGTTTCAGGTCGGGCCAGACGGATACCCAGGAACTCCAGGAGAGCGTGGAATGGACGGACTTCCAGGATTCCCAGGACTTCATGGAGAGCCAGGAATGCGTGGACAACAAGGAGAAGTTGGATTTAATGGAGTCGATGGAGACTGCGGAGAGCCAGGACTCGACGGATATCCAGGACAACCGGGAGCACCAGGAGCACCAGGAGAGACTGGATACGGATTCCCAGGACAAGTCGGATACCCAGGACCAAATGGAGAGCCAGGAGCAGCTGGGCTTCCAGGACCAGACGGTTATCCAGGACGTGACGGACTTCCAGGAACTCCAGGATATCCAGGAGAGGTTGGAATGAACGGACAAGATGGTGCACCAGGAATGCCAGGAGCTCGCGGAGAGTCTGGACTTGTTGGAATCGACGGAAAGAAGGGACGTGATGGACAACCAGGACCACGTGGACAAGACGGAGTTCCAGGATACAGAGGAGAAGCTGGAGCACCAGGACAAAATGGAATGGATGGATATCCAGGAGCACCGGGAGATAACGGATACCCAGGAGCACCAGGACAAGACGGATACCCAGGACCGAATGGAATTCCAGGAGAAGACGGACTGGTTGGATTCCCAGGACTTCGTGGAGAACACGGAGACAATGGACTCCCAGGAATTGAGGGAGAATGTGGAGAGGAAGGAGCGAGAGGAACTGATGGACTTCCAGGATATCCAGGAGAACAAGGACAAGATGGACATCCAGGACTTCCAGGAGCTGATGGTCTTCCAGGATTGAGTGGAGAGCCAGGAGACTCTGGAATGCCAGGATACAGAGGACAACCAGGAGAGCCAGGAAACCTTGCCTATCCAGGAGCACCAGGAGATGTAAGGTTTTGAATTCAAATTTCCTGGAAAACATAAATCATTTCTCATGAAAAACATGAATCATTTCAGCTTGGATACCCAGGACCAGATGGACCACCAGGACTTGCTGGACCAGACGGGCTTCCAGGATTGAACGGAGAACGTGGAGAGGTTGGAGACAGCTATCCAGGAAACCCAGGACTTAGCGGACAACCAGGAGATGCTGGATACGATGGACTCGATGGAGTTCCAGGACCACCAGGATATCCAGGAATCACTGGAATGCCAGGACTCAAGGGAGAATCCGGACTTCCAGGACTTCCAGGACGTCAAGGACAAGATGGACTTCCAGGAGCACCTGGATTGGAAGGAGAGTGTGGAGAACAAGGATTCCCAGGAGCACCAGGACAGCCAGGTTATCCAGGACAGCAGGGACGTGAAGGAGAGAAGGGATACCCAGGAATGCCAGGAGAGAACGGGCTTTCAGGACTCCGCGGACAAGACGGACTTCCAGGATTGAAGGGAGAAAATGGTTTGGATGGTCAACCAGGTTATCCAGGAGCTCCAGGACAATTGGGAACTCCAGGAGACGTTGGATATCCAGGAGCACCTGGAGAAAATGGAGACAACGGACTTCAAGGACGTGACGGACAACCAGGTCTCCGCGGAGAGCCAGGACAACCAGGAATGCCAGGACTTCAAGGAAGAGATGGACAAACAGGACCAATCGGACCACCAGGAGATGATGGATATCCAGGAGCACCGGGACAAGACACATATGGACAGCCAGGACAGGCTGGACAGGATGGATATCCAGGACTTGATGGTCTTCCAGGATCCCCAGGACTTAATGGAGAGCCAGGAACACCAGGACAATACGGAATGCCAGGACTCCCAGGAATGCCAGGAGAGCCAGGACAAACCGGATATCCAGGAGAGCGTGGATTGGTTGGAATCGACGGAAAGCGTGGACACGATGGACTTCCAGGAGCACCAGGACTCGATGGAGTTATTGGAGTACCAGGAGTTGAAGGAGATTGTGGAGAGGATGGTCTTCCAGGACTTCCAGGGGCACCAGGAAGCAACGGATATCCAGGAGAACGTGGACTTCCAGGAGTTCCAGGACAACAGGGACGCTCGGGAGACAACGGATATCCAGGACAGCCAGGACAGCCAGGACTCAAGGGACCACGTGGAGATGATGGATATCCAGGACGTGACGGACTCGACGGAATGCCAGGAAGAGGAGGACCTCAAGGACTTCCAGGACCATTGGCTATGGAGATCAGAAATCCACCAGGTCTTTCAGGAGACAACGGATATCCAGGAGAAAAGGGATACCCAGGACTTCCAGGGGATAACGGTTAGTGATTAACTATAACAAACCAGAAAAAACCATTTTTATTATTACTATCATTTCAGGACTTCCGGGACCACCAGGAAAGGCCGGATACCCAGGAGCATCTGGACAAGACGGATATCCAGGACCACCAGGTCTTCCAGGAACACCTGGAGGTCTCGGAGATCAAGGATTCCAAGGAGAGCGTGGACGTGGTGGTCATCCAGGACTTCCAGGAACCCCAGGATACCCCGGATCTCCAGGAGGATGGGCTCCATCTCGTGGATTCACTTTCGCCAAGCACTCTCAAACAACAGCAGTTCCACAATGTCCACCGGGTACATCGCAACTCTGGGAGGGATATTCTCTTCTCTACGTACAAGGAAACGGACGTGCCAGTGGACAAGACCTCGGACAACCCGGATCATGTCTTTCTAAATTCAACACTATGCCATTCATGTTCTGTAACATGAACAGTGTTTGCCACGTGTCGAGTCGTAACGACTACTCCTTCTGGCTGTCAACGGACGAACCAATGACTCCAATGATGAATCCAGTGACCGGAACCGCCATTCGTCCATACATTTCCCGTTGTGCTGTCTGCGAAGTACCAACTCAAATCATCGCAGTTCACTCTCAAGACACATCAGTTCCACAGTGTCCACAGGGATGGTCGGGTATGTGGACCGGATATTCCTTCGTCATGCACACTGCCGCTGGAGCCGAGGGAACTGGACAGAGTCTCCAATCTCCAGGATCCTGTCTTGAGGAGTTCCGTGCTGTTCCATTCATTGAGTGTCACGGAAGAGGAACATGCAATTACTATGCCACCAACCACGGATTCTGGTTGTCGATTGTTGATCAGGTATGACACATTTTTTGTAAAACCTGTAATAAAAGGGCCTTATCAAAGATATTAAAAAGTAGTCAACTGATAAATTTTTATCATAATGTCGAAAGTCTCTTTCCGGTTGGCACATTTTTGATATCTCACATGGGAGCCAAGAAAAATGAGCTCAAACTTTTATTATAGGTTTTAGGGAATCTTAAACTTCTGAAATTTATTATTCTTCTGAATCTCCCTTTTTCCAGGACAAGCAATTCCGCAAACCAATGTCACAAACACTCAAGGCCGGAGGACTCAAAGATCGTGTGTCCAGATGCCAAGTGTGTCTCAAGAACCGATAATCACAATCACTTTTCCATTTTTTAATATTTATCAATTTCTACTTAAAATTCTCTTAATCTTTTATGCTTTTCCATTCTTTAAAATTTTTCAAATTTCCCCCAAGCCCACAAACTGCCCGCCAGAGCACATTTCACTGTGTGATACCAGATATAAAATTCTCTCTTTTAAATCCTGCCTTTTTGAAAAATAAGCTTGTTAAGTTTTCATTGCATTTCTCATCTTTTTTATTTTTCTTCCTTTTTTGGAAAAAAAACAATATTGTCACCTAATAAAATTAAAATAAAGATTTCTTGAATTATGTTGTAGCTGGCTTTAGAAGGGGATGCACAGGAAATGGAAACTACTGTATTCAGGTTTTTTCTGGTATTAAAAATTTCAAAGATATGGAGATTTCTCTAGGAAAGTTCGGAACGGAATTCGGGATTTCGAAAATTCGACCATTTTCAGAATTGAAGGTTTTCGGACAACTGTATGTCAAAGACGCAAAAAAGATTCCCAGCGAAATTTCTTTGAATTTTTTCGCTTTTTCAAAGTCTGTTTGTCAAACGCAATTTTAACATCTCTGCCGTAACTGCTCTAAAATCCCACACTATACGTGCACTTTGAGCTCAATTATCTCAGTTCCTATGCAAGATATCAAAAATGAAGGGGGCAGGGATGTACAGAATGACCTTTTCGGAATTTTTCGAAATTTCGTAAATTAGAATTTTAAAAATTTCGGAATTTCGGAATATTCCGATTTCGAAACTCGGAATCTCGGAGATTCCGATTTTTAAAAATTTGGAACTTTAAAAAATTCAAATTTCAAGATACAAATTCCATTTTTCCATCACAAAAACGCCGAAAAGCTAGAAATTCTGAAGACTTCGAGGTTCTGAAATTCTAAAATTCTAATGTTTCAAGGTTCCCATATCCCAAGACTTTGAAACTCCATTTTGATGATTTTAGATTCTTTCCAAGCTTAAAAACGGTCGTATGAAAAGCGTTCCGTTGAATGGTGTAAGTTGTTTTTGAGTGTCAAAGATCGTAATCTTCTCGTCTTTACCTCCCCCTCGTCTTCTGTCTTCAGAATTATCCAAACGACTTTTTTCTCCTTCTTCTTCTCCCATATCCATTCCCTATTTGTCTTTCCTCTTCTCCCTTTTTCTTCTCCAAATGAACATCCAATTTGTTGCGGATATTCTCCATCCGAGAACCAACCCGATAGCATATATAACTGGTTTGTCTAACCTATATAGACTGGTATAAAATCTCAATAAGACATATTTTTGATTTTATTCAGAAAACATTGTCTATTCTCTGAATAAATGTTTTTATTTTTCATTTCTCCTTCATTCTCGTATCTTTGACACCCTCTGATAACTGGCTTATATCCTCAAAAGCCTTTTTCTTGGGATCGAATGGCCGGTTCTTTCTTCCTTGATACACTCATCGTTGACGGCCAATTCGATTGCCGTCGTCGATGAAGAAAAACAGGAAGAATTGAATAAGAAAAAGCGAAAAGAATGGGATAATCAGTCGGACGCTTTTGACGACATTTTCCAGTTTTCAACAGTTTATACAAAACAAAATGTCACAACAATAGCCACGAAAAAAAGAACAGCTGGTATTTCTTGCAGCCGATTTGTTTGGATTTTTTTTTTAATTTTGTTTGGAGCTTATTTTTCCAAAAAAAAATCTTAAAATTCTGAAAATTTTCAGGACTACAAAACAGCTGTTTTAGTTAAAATATTTTAGCATATTCTGTACCTCTCTTAGTATTATACAATTTTCTGCTGAAAATAGTTACCGTATTCCCTCTAATAGAAGCCAACCCAACCTGTCCACTTTGAGCTCATTATCTCATTCCCTGTAAAATATATCAAAAAGTGGTCAACTGTCAATTCGTTTATTATAAAACCAACAATGTTTTATCAGCTGACATATTTTTGACATCTCTTACAGGAATGGAGATAATTGAGCTCGAAAATCTCGGTTCGGGTGGACTTCTAAAAGATGGAGTACGGTAAGAATACGATAAGATTTTCCAGCGTTGTAATATCCAGTACAGTTCCTATTCTGATTGTCTCTCTATCCTCTATTTTTTTTCTCTTTTCAAAAACTTTCTCAATTCGACATCGTAGGCTAAAAGCACAACTAATTCTTCTCTATAAATTTTTAAATGGCTCCGCCTACTTTCCTAACCTAAATGCGCATGTCAAATACTCCTCCTCCCCTCGTCGCCCTATGAACTTAATTATTGTTCAGCCCTACTCCTCTGACTATTTTTCTTCAATTGTTCCCCTGTGGAACGCCATCACTTCCCAAGTTACCCGATTTCTCCTACCTTCCGAGTTGAATCCTTAATTTCTTCCAGTATTACCCGTTATTGATATATTTGCTCCCTATTTTTCTTTTTCTACCGGTTACATCTTTCCTGTGTCAAATATCTAACAAGGGAAGTGTTTTCAGAGAGGCGTTGAGAATTTGCTCAAAATTTCAGTACTGATAGTTTGAGATATCCGCAACACGATGACGAAAAAATCTAGGTCATAACCCCACCAGGAAGCTGAAAATCTTCGTCTGAAAATTCTGCCCGATTTGGGCGCGCACTTTCCCCCCTCTCCTATACGCCCTCCTCGCCAGAAGAAAATGTCGGTTGTGTGGTGTAGCGGTAAGAGGGTAACTCATTAGGTGAGACTCCACTGGTTCGAACCCCACTGTGGTTAACATTTTTTTTGTTTTTTTTTCATGTTTTTCTAACAATCAGAAGTTATCAGTAGAGCATGGATTTGTATTTCAACTCGCAGAAAGTTCTGGAAGCAGCAGAAAATTGCTATAAAAGGCGATTTTTTTTTTCATTTGTTCCTGTTTTTCTATTTTTTTTTCTTCGTATTTATAGCTATTATTTGTCTAGCTGATGTCGAAGTTTCGTCGCATTTTGACATACATTCTGGATCTGGGAGTCAATCCTAAGCGTCAGCCATTGGATGAAGAGGATCTCAAGCTCGCGGCTTATTTGATTGACCTCGGTGAATCGATCGATAAGGGAGACTTTGATATTGAAATGGAACAGCACCTTTCAAATTTTGAAGACGATCTACAGGATTTGAGTAAGTTTCAGTTCAGTGAATCATTACATATACATATGTCGACTCGTCTATGCCGAAGGATGCTCTTCTCATTGTAGATTCGTGGAACAGCTGGAAAGACACTGCCGCCATCGATTCGGTCACCCCTTCATCCCACAAGTTGAAATTATTGACGATTCCTGCTGGATGCACTGGGCGTATCCAACCATGTGCTGTTGGCATTTTTGGATCCTTCAAGAAAGTTGTGAAGACACTCACCAACTATGCCCAATTGACCAACAGCAACTACAAGTTTCAAACCAGGGATGAAACTCTGAAGGTCAGCTACCTATTTGTCAAACAGCTCAAAAAATGAGTTTACAGCTCCTCTCCCTCGTCTGGCGGCAGCTGTGCTCTCCGAAGCTCGAGAAGTGGGCCCGATATGCTTGGGTTGCAGCTGGATACGATGTGCCCCGTCCAGCAAGTTTCGAAACTCCAGCACAACTTCTGTTTCCACGAGGTGTCGCTGGAGATTGTACAATGCATGGTTGCTCCAGCACATCGTTTGTGAAGTGTCTCTATTGTGAAAAATTATTCTGTTTCGAACATTTTGTCATTGACCATCACAACTGTTGATTGATTTTGATTTATTTAATAAAATTTTGATAAATTCAGTACCTCTATATCTTCGAAATATTGATAAAAAGTATGAAAAAAAAACAAAAAAATGTTAACCACAGTGGGGTTCGAACCAGTGGAGTCTCACCTAATGAGTTACCCTCTTACCGCTACACCACACAACCGACATTTTCCTCTGGCGCGGAGGGCGTATAGGAGAGGGGGGAAAGTGCGCGCCCAAATCGGGCAGAATTTTCAGACGAAGATTTTCAGCTTCCTGGTGGGGTTATGACCTAGATTTTTTCGTCATCGTGTTGCGGATCGTGAGGGGCATTTTTTCTGAGTCTTTCATGTCCTGCCCTCTAATGTTTTATTACACCTGATCAATAAACAAATTAAATTAAAGATGCTAACAGTTTCTATATTTCATTTGAATGATTTCTTACTGAAAATTTCTTTGTTACAAAATTGAACCTTATATGTTTATTAATACTTAATAGTTTCTGAATTAGACTTAATTACATTAAAATAAACTTAAATCAAATTTTACACATTTTCGCAATCAACAAAGTTTCTAGTAACTTTTGGATATGTTCCTTTTAACCTTGGGACCCCAGGTGCCTAGAAAAGGTCCAATTTTTAAAGGTGCATATCTCAAAAATTACAGTAGCTACAAAAAATGTCAAAAGTTTTTCAACTGGTAAACTATTTATCTCAATATCACCAATGTTTTATCAGTTGACACATTTTTGATCACTTTCACTGGAATCGAGATAATTGAGCTCAAAGTTGAAAGCTAGGGGCCCTTCTATTACAGGTTTTGTGATACATTTAACCTTTTCTAATAATTTATCTGTTGTAACGCTCTACATGATTCTATATTTCACTCTTTTACTATTACTGTAGCTATCCTAATCTCTCCGATTCACACTTCATTGATAACTGACATCTTCTGAATCATTCCATTTCGGAAGATTGGGTAATTATGAAGAATAGGTCACACTCGTCTCATCTTGTCCATCCCGACCGATTCAAACTTTCTTTTTAAAGATCGCATTTTTCCTACTATCTCCGTCTCTCCCACTTCCACACCTTCTCACTTCCCAGTAACTTTTTCCCCGTTTTCCGCTTATATCCAATGACGCGAGACCATCATTCCGACCACCTGGAAACTGAGTGTTCCGGACGGCACTTCTTCTACTTCTTCTTCTTTTGATCACGAAAACAGTTGAATGGATGTTCTGAGAGGAAGAAGAAATAGAAGCTGCCGCGATTTCTGAACGAGAAGAAGACTTTCGATTTCCGAAAAATCCTTGGAATACACATCGTTTCTTCGTCTCTCCGTTTTCTCTCACATCCAGAAATAATACGTTCCTTCCTATTTTCTTTCTTCGCCTTCTTCAATTTTCTCGATTTTACAAGAAACGCAGAACGAGAAAGAACGGATTCGAATAGTAATCCCGTTTCTGTATGTTTAGTTTTTTTTTTCCTTTTCTGTCTCATCCATAAATTATCTTGTTTTTTATTGTCTCAGTCAACTTGTTCCATAAAAATCCTTCTGTTTTTTCTCAATATTCATAAAATTTTACATAGTATGATGAATTATGATAGATTGGTCTAGTTGCAGTTAATTAATCTGAAAATACAGAACACGGAAATTTTTGTTTTTCAAAATTCAGCTCGAAAAGAGCTTTAAAATGAGTATACGCATGACTAGGCTCCGCCCATTTTGGGTCCCGCAACGAAAACCACACTAACCCAAAATAGGAGGACCTAGGTCGTGTTTAGGCTCACTTTGAAGCTCATGCCCTCGAAAAATGAAGTGCGCAGTTTTCAAAGCAAAAAATGGCATTGGGATTCAACTGTTGTGAGATATTTTTTGGATGAAAGTAAACAATTAATTTGATCCTGATCTTCAAAATTTATCGAAAAAGGCATATAAAAAGTGTCCAACTTTATTCCATTTCAATTTAAATTTTTTAGAGATTCAAGTTTTTTGAAAATCCATTAAAAGTGCAGAAATGAGCTTCAAATTCACAACATGACTCTGAAATGTATCGTTTTCTCAATGTATACAGTATTCTCTAATAGTACTTCGAACTAAATTATCTCGCTTCCTGTAAAATATATCAAAATTCTGACAACTGATAAAATGTGTATCATATTGTCACCAACATTTGTTTAGTTTGCAGATTTTTTATATCTCTTGAAGGAACCGAGATAATTGAGCTCAAAGTGCATGTTAAGGGTAGAAATTGTATTAGAGCAAATACGGTATGTGAATACCATAACTGCTCTGAAAGAAGCCCACACAATCTGTCAACTTTGAGCTCATGTATCTCAATTCCTGTGAAAGATATCGAAAATTTGTCAACTGATGAAATGAAAACATCATATCATCACTAGCATTTTATCAGTTGTTTATCAGTTGTTTTGGATATCTCTTTAAAAAACCGAGACAATTGAGCTCAAAGAGAGCCTGCCGTATTTGAACTCTTCTCATTGTCATAATCGTTTCCTTCTTTCCTTTTGCTCAATTAACCATCGAATTTCTGTTTTCAGTTCATCAAAAATGGAACTCGCCGAGTTCTGGAATGAACTCAACACCTTCACGATATATGGCCCGAATCACACAGATATGACAACCAAATACAAATATCCGTAAGTCGATATCAATTCACGTCTCTCTTCTGAATGAACTCTTCTTTCAGATATCACTTCCCCGGAGAACAAGTAGAAGATCCACAATATTGGACAATTCTCTTCCAAAAATATTGGTATCACTCGATCACAATTTCCGTTTTATACTTTGCATTAATCAAAGTGATTCAAAAATTCATGGAAAATCGAAAACCATTCACTCTTAAATATCCATTGATTCTTTGGAATGGAGCACTAGCGGCATTCAGTATTATTGCGACACTTCGGTTTTCTATTGTAGGTTTTTTTTCTGATAAAACCAAAAAATTGAATTTTCAGGACCCTCTTCGATCCCTTTATGCTGAGGGATTGTACAAAACTCTGTGCTATTCGTGTAATCCTACTGACGTCGCCGCATTCTGGAGTTTTGCGTTTGCATTGTCGAAAATTGTCGAGTTGGGAGACACGATGTTCATTATTTTGAGAAAGAAGCCGTTGATCTTTTTGCATTACTATCATCATGCGGCAGTCTTGATTTATACTGTGCATTCTGGTTAGTTTCTCTGATTTTGCTATCGAGATTCTCGAGAATATCGATTTTTCCAGGAGCCGAGCACACTGCCGCCGGTCGCTTTTACATTCTTATGAACTACTTCGCTCATTCTCTTATGTATACTTATTACACAGTATCCGCAATGGGATACCGTATGCCAAAATGGGTTTCAATGACAGTAACCACTGTACAAACTACACAAATGTTGGCTGGAGTTGGTATCACATGGATGGTTTATAAGGTGAAAGCCGACTACAAGCTTCCTTGCCAACAATCCATGGCCAACCTGTACTTGGCTTTCGTTATCTATGTCACATTTGCCATTCTCTTCATCCAATTCTTCGTCAAAGCATACATCGTAAAGTCGGCGAAGAAATCTGCGAAATCGGTGAAGAAGGATTAAACATATTACGGTTTCAACTGAAGAAAACTACCTGCAATCTTTCACTTTTTGTTACTTTTTTCTAAATTTGTTTAAATATCTTGCCAATAAATTATATTTTTATATGGATGCAATAATTAAATTTTTTAAAAAAATGAAGTTAAGCTTTTGGTTGGATTATTCCCTTCTCGATCAGATCTGGAATCTCCACAGCCATCCATGGTCCCAGCCCAAGGGCGAATGCGTGAGCGATTCCGAACTTTGGTGTGTTACGTGCCCAGAGAGGTTTGAAATGTTCCGAGAGACAGATCTTTCCACCACGATACATCTAAAAGAAATTAGAAATGATTCGAAATACTGAAAAACGTCCAAAAACAAACCTTTGCAGTCTTTCCGTCCAACTCAGGCAACGCGATTTCTGGCGCTGTGACGGGATAGGTGATTGGAATGTCGAATTCGACGTCGAACTCGTATTTGACCATATTGTGGAAGTACCAGCACTTTCCGAACCATTTCGTGCCTCGCTCGTTTGCTTCAAGCCTGAAAAAGTGAACATTCGATATAAATTTGAGCTGTGAATGCTTAAAAATAACATAGTGAGCTCAAAACCATTTAAAATTTTATATATTTTTCTGTCGTTTTCAAACAAAAATTCGACTCACTTAAACCAATCTCTATCGCTGGTCTTGTTGTTCTGAACGGCAGCGATAATTGCTTCGTATTCTTCCTGAAATTAACAAAAATGAAACGTTCCATCAACGAAAATCAACTTGCCTTTAGCCTCTCCATCCATAGATCACCATCTCTTGGACCGGCTTTCGTCTTACAGAGAGGAATGGCTTTCAAACTGGACTTGGTGGTCTCATCCATCTGAAAACATCGATTTTTTGGATAAATTCGGAGTTTGCAAATAAGAAATTTGGATAAGATTAATAAGGAGCAGAGTATTTTATTTTATTAGATAGTTACTGCTTTTATTAAGCGAAAACATATAGAAAAAAGGACAGAAAATTGATAAATAAAAAGGAGTGCGTTGGCCCGTTTCTGCAATCTGACGTGGTGGTGTTTGCGGACTCTTCGGAGGAATGATGTCACGCATCTCGCTTATTCTGAATTCCGATGAGATAATCTGTACTAGAAGTGATTCTCTAATAGAAGTAATCTTAAAGAGTCTGAAATTATAAATTGTGTTATTCGAAGTTATGAAGTTCAATTTTATTGAAAATCATGTCGCGAACTTCAAATTTGGCAAAAATTGATAAAACGTTTAAAGCCAAAAACTCAAGCGAAGTTGGTTAGATTTTTATACACTTTGAACAATGTTATACCGATTTATGCATTTAATTTTTAAAAAAAAATTAAAATAAGTGGGCCCCTTCAGTTTGAAGGTCCTCCGGGAAGACGTTGGAACATTAGAATATAACTATAGTTATAATTTCATCTGGATAATAGTACATTTTCCCATTGCAAAATAACTAACATATTTAAATAGCTTTCAAATCATTTATTTTTTACATATAAAAAACTTCTAATGAAGACAATCGCGACCCTCTCCTGGGAACGATCCGGCGAGTTGAACGACTCCAGCGTCGTAAATCTTGCGGGCGACCTTTCCCTTGCTAATGTAGCTATCCGGGATTTTGATGGTGAACTTGCGTTGGCATGGTTTGATTCCGTCGTTGCAATCGTGGTAGATATTCAATTTTGGGTCGATTGGAGTCACCTCGTCTTCATGTCCAGCGATCTCGAAATCTCCGTTTCCGTTTGTCTTTCCAGAAGCCATTAGATCATCAGCGTCGATTCCTAAATCATAAAAGTTGTAATTAGTTGAATTTCAAGAGTTGAAAGCAGTACCTCTATCATCATCATACAATTTAACCAAAACTCCCACAGCTGGTTTTCCATTACAAATCAGTTTTCCCCGAACTCCAGCGGATTGGGTGTTTCCGATGAGAGCCGTGGTAGCTGCCACGAGGCAGAGGAGGATTAGAAGTTTCATTCTGGAACTTTAAAAAGTATAAAAATCTGATAGTGAATAGAGGGAGAAGAGCATAAAATAAGAGAAGTAAAAATAAATTGTAGCTTGGAGTGGATCAGACGGATACTTTTATCTTGTTATCCGCACGGATCAACATGTTTACGGCTCAGTGAGAGAGAGGACCATGAAGACATGGGAAGAAGAAAGAAAAAAGGTTTAATGGGATTTTGATCAACGAGTCGGGAAGAATGACTCAAGTGTTGTTGGTTTGGTTTCTATGGGACAAGAAAAATATATACAACGAAATCTGATTAGTGTTCGGATTATCAGGTTATCAGCTATACGACAAGAGTAATAGAAAAACTAGAAATGGTGAAATACTTCTGGAACAATTGAAAACGAATTTGGCGATTGATTACAGTACACCGAAGGCCAAACGGATATCCGAATAAAAGCTCACTGTATATGTTCTTTTTTTCAGTTATCTTGCTTCCTTAGCGAGATATCGAAAATTGGTCAGCTAATAGAATGTTCGTCATATTCTCAGCAACATTTTATTAATTGACAAAGCTTTGATATCTCTCATTAGAACCGAGATAATTGAGCTTAAAGTTTTAAATTTGTTTGCTCTAGAAGACGCCTACTCTGTGCATGCAGTTTGAGCTCAATTATCTCAGTTCCTATTAGAGATATCAATCAACTGATAAATTATTGATCAACTGATATATTATTCATGATACCAAAATATTTTGTTAGTTGACAATTTTTTCCTATCTCTTATAGGAACCGAGATAATTGAGCTCAATACATGTACAGAATGGGCCAATCTATGGAATCTAAACAACAAAAATTACATGCAATCAGTTGATGCTTGATTTGATCAGCTCTTATTTATACGCTTCTGGCTCTTTTTATTTTTATATGTTTCTTTTCAAAATTATCTATTATTCATCAACTAACCCCCATAGCAACATATGACAATAGCAGCATTAATTATTCATCGCTTTTGAAACATCGAGATCCTTTTCTTCTTCTTTTTAGTCTTGTGGTTTTCCCTATTTTTTGTTATTACGTTTTTCTTTTCTCTCTTTGGTTCTTGGTTCTTCATGTCATCTTCCTCTCGAAATTTTGATTTGGAATATGATGAATATAAAGAAAGAAGGAATGCTGCTGGAATGGGAATTCGAGCAAGTTCGAGGAACGGGCGATTCAAACCGGTAGATCAAGAAAAGGAGAAAGTTAAGAAGGAAATTGGGGATTATGGATTGTGAGTTTTTGATTTGTTAAATTCTTGAAACAATTCCCCGCTCACACAGACCCAAAAATGAGTACCAAATGCAAGGATACAATGAGCGAAGCTCTGACCTTGGTGTTGATCCTTTGGCATCTGTCCGAACTCTTCGAAACAATCTCCGAGTGATGTCACTGGAGCATCGAGACAAGGATGAGCCAGTCAAGGCTCATTTGTGTCAATCGGCATGTGATGACTTGTCAAAAGCCGAGAAACAACTCGTCGATCTGAGTCACAAACGAAGTGATGCAGTGGTTCGAGGAGATACGAGACAAGTAGAATCAATTGCCAAGGATATGGAGAGAGTGAAGTCAGATGCCATTCGAAATGCCTACTCAGATTTAATGATGGAGGATGGAGCGATGAAAGCATTTGGGGTGAACTCCAAATGGACTACTGATAAGAATCCGATGCCCACTGACGACTGGAAACCGATGACACCTATGAAGCCGAGGAAGAGAGCAGAGACACCAAAAAGATCGGAAAGTCGGCAGAGTGTTAGACGAGGAAATAATGATAATGGGGATGGGAGAATGGCATCGAGAGCGAGCTCAAGGTCCGCGGAGAGAAGGGTTATACCATCGGAACCGGAGAGTAGGAAGGTTTGTGTGGGTATGGTATTGTTGATAGTGAAGCGATCAAAATCGGTTTTATATGAATGCATCCTAATAAAAATAAGCAATAAAAATTGAAAAAAGAAATAAAAAGCGATACAAATAGTTACAAGTAGCAGAGTACAAAAACAAATATACCTTGTTCGAGATACGGTAGATTTTTGATGTTTAGTAATAAACGAAAAATATCATCTTCGGGGTCAGTGTGGTTTCAGGCGAGGAATAGTGGCCTAACTTTCTCAACGCGACCTGTTCTAGGCCACAGTAGTAGATGGTCTAGAGTTGGTCCAACATGCACCCGATGTATTTTCAAGACCATTTAGCACGATGTCCTAACTTTTTCAAGTTGATTTTTCTAGGCCATCTTAACATGGTGGCCTAACAATTCTATTTATCTAGGCCATGGCGTTTAAATGACAAGAAAAGTCTCCAAATTAATACTAGATGATGTCTAGTCCATTTGGCATGGTGACCTAGAAAGCTCAACTTGAGAAAGTTAGGCCACCATTCTAAAATGATCTTAAACCCCACAAAGTGAATATCAGATCATTTCTAAATGTAAGCCATAATAGTTGGTGGCCTACAAAACTCAACTTGAAAAAGTTAGGCTGCCGTGCTAAAATGTTTTACTAGGCACTGAGCCCAGTTTAGGTGTTTGAACGTTCGAAATAAATTTTTTGAAAATATCCGGAAGGTTTTTTAGGGCACATCAATTTAGATTCCTGTACTTCAATTATTTATAGCCAAAAGCAACACGAAAAAACCAGCGTCTCTCCACCATCGGACATGTCCCTGAAGCAATCCCAGTGGATTCTCCATTAGCTGGTGGTTCTACAGTTCAAGATGATCCTTACAAAATGCCAACTTATGTTGGGTACGTCTTATTACTTTTTTTGGTCCCCCACCCAATCTTTTTTCTAGAAGATGCCCCCACTGTCAGCTCACCGAAGCTGGGCTCGGAAAACCAGGTGGCATGGAGAAGCATTATGCGAGATATTGTAAAGTGATGACCAGCTGCAAGTACTGTATGAAGGTGACTATGGTTAGGTTTTCAAACTACAGTTTCCCGTTTAAAAGTTTTATGTGCAGGTTTCCCAACTAACTGATCATCTAATATATCGTTGCGAATTCCTTCAAGACACCATGGAAGCTTGCAACGATTGTGGATTGGCTATCGAGAAGGAAGATCAAAAGAGAGGAGCCAGTCATCCAATGTGTAGAGGTCGACGTCCGCCTCCTGGAGCACAATGGTGTCCATTATGCACGATTGCTGTGGAGGATAATGAGGAGAATTGGAGGGAGCATCTTTTGAGCAACTGTTATAATAATCCGAGACGGGATGGACCGGAGAAGGATCCGTGGGAGATGAAACAGCAACAGGATGATATTTTGTGAGTCGAAAGAAGTCTTGAGGTAGTTTACTGTAATAATATTTGATTTCTAGAAAAGGAGCTGCCGAGAAGAAGCGTCAAGAAAAAGAAGAAGAGGAGCAGGGGAAAAAAGAAGCGGAATTGAAAAGACAACAGCAACAAGTGGTTGTGAATAATACTGGATATCCGGGAAGAATGATAGATGCTGATAAGTTGGTTGTAGCTTTGCAGGAGATTCAGGAGAGGAAGAAAGCAGAGAAGAAGAAGAAATTGAAGGATATTGAGAAGGAAAATGCGGCAAATTGATTTTTTTTGAAATTTTCTGTCTGATAAACTGTCAATATTAATGAAACTTTTTTATTGGTGGCCTGAAAAGTGAGTGTTTATTTATAAAACTTCTGGATCTTGAGATACAGAAAAATAATCTTCTTTGATCAATTTTTTTCATCTATGTTTCTCTAGATTTTAGTAGATTCTTTGAGAAATCATATTTTACTTTCTGGATTCTTGACTCTTATCTGGAGCTCCGTCGGCTATGGCGAACCGGAATTCATAGCGAATTTCGGTATGTCAATGGTTTAGCTGGTTCTAGAGTGTCCTGAAGGTGAGAATGTGTCTTTTGAATTCTCCTAGAATCTCCTAGATTTCCTAGAATTTCCTAGAATCTCCTAGATCTCCTAGAATCTTCCTCACTTTCTAAGTTTCCCTAGATTGTAGTAGATTTTTCGAGAAATCGTTTCTCACTTTCTGGATTTCTTTCGGTCTGGGTGATTGTGCGCCACCAGAGCCACTTCTACAAAGGCGTTTGACTTCAATAAATTTTTTATTTTTGTTCACAAATAATTGACAACAACTACAATTACAACACTGGCTAATAGATAAGAAACTGGGCTACTGTTTTCAAATTCATAATCCTCAATATGAATTCTTTGATGTGTTCCAAATATCGGTTTGAAGTCTTCTCGATTCTTTGGACATCCACTAAGTGACCATCTTACAATATCAATGTTAAAGTAGTGCATGTGGTCTGGAGTCGAAAGATTTTGTATTTTGCTGCTGGAAAAGTTGTATAAATTGTCCAAAAAAAAATGATAAGCGAACACACACCTGCAGAATGGTTGATCGGTTTGCTCGCAAATGACGAAAGAGTCGCCTTCCCGCATTTCGTTGTTGTACCAAATTTCAGTTCTCGGGTGATAAAGCGAAATGTTATCAATGTTATCAAAAAATGGGACTCTTGGAGCATAATCATGTGCGTGGATGATATGGTAGGAGTAGGGAAACTGCAAAGTACGCTCTATGGAGAAAGTGCACTCTGCACTAGTGTCAGCTTACATTTATACTGTGCCACATTGCAAAGTCATAGTCTGTACATCTTGGGCATCCTAACAGGACCACTTTCATGTTTTGGGGATTGCTCATTCCGGTTTGAGCAATGTAGGCAGAAGTGATTAGAGCCAAGGATGCTCCCATAGAATAGCCGGTGACCTGAAAAACGAATCCTGGGATTCTGAGTTTTGTTATTTTTAGAAAAAATATCCTAGAATGTCTAGAAACGTTATTTGAGAAACAGGAATTTTGCAATTTCGAAAAAAAACGATATTTCAGAAATTTATTATTTTGATTAACCTGAAAGTGTGAAGCTAAAAATTTCCTAGAAATCTGTCTAAATATCATTTTCCTATTCCGGCTGGGAGCCGAGAAACAGTTGTTTAAAGTTTGGAAGGTTAGAGACGCAGTGTGTCTCGTTAATTTTTTTCAGAAATCTCCTTAAATTCTGAATTCCTAAATTTCGATCATTTTCTTACCCAGATTTCAAAATCAGGATATTTCCTTATCAAGTTATGCATACACAGGTGGATCGCGCAGAACACTATATGGGCGCATTGTGGCCCATACTGGGAATGCGCGCATATAGCGTTCGTTATGCCCGCTATATGGGTTGGTGGTTGCTGGTCGGTGGTGGTGGGCGTCGAGTAAGCAGGGAAAGCATATGCCCAGTCCGTGCTCGCATATAGGTTCCATATTCCCTCAACATTCTAATCGAGTGCTCGAGAACTGTAAACTTCGATCCCATATATCTCATTTCCTGTAAAAGATATCAGAAAATGATCAACTGACAAAATGTTTATTATAATATCAAAAACATGCTGTCAGTTAACAACTTTTTGATATCTTTCACAGGAACCCAGATAAATTAGCTGAAAGTTAAAGGGGAAGGGGTGGATCATTCTATTATGTGTCTTCACGGAAACCTGATAGCATTTACAGAACATGTAAATGTTTTTTGCAGAAATAATAGCTTGAAACTCTTCTCTTGATATTCTCAGGATAAATTTTTTGGTTCTCAAAGAATTGTATTTATGACTGTTGACTATCGAAAAATAGTGTTATCGGTGAAAAGTAGTTAACCAAGACAGATCGGAAAACATATACAGGTGCTGGATTTTAGGCTTGGAATTCCATTAAACTTGATGGGAATTTTGTCTTTGAAAAGTTCAACATTTTCTGCAGGCTGTGTTGCGACGTTTACTCCAAAAAAACCTGTCAAAATCCGGATTTTATGTTACCATAAAATGCCCTTATGCTCTGTCTGCTTATTTTACATCACAATATTCTATATTTCCACATGAATCGGATTTTTTTGCCCATTTAATTTGGTAATTCCGCTGAAAAAGTACACAACGACGCTCCGACATCCCGCATCGCGCGTTGTTTACCGTAAATCTACACTCAGATTTTCGATGAATTTGCAGATATTTTTGCCTATTTTTGTTCGATTTTCTTTAATTTTTCACGATTTCACAGGTTTTCTTTACAAATTTTTCACTTGCGAACTCATTTTCATCGTTTCTAGCCGTTTTCCTCGGGTTTCTATACATAAATTCCTAAAGAAATAATTATTTTAGGCCCACCGATGGATTCCAACGCCTCACATTTCTACCTAAAGCTGAAAACCAAAAGTTTTCGGCGGATAGCTACAGGTAAGAAACATGCATGACATTCAGTTTCTCACTGACTTTATTTTTTTAGAAGCGGAGCTCGGAATTCGGTGACAACTAAACCCTTCACCGTCTCCACTGGCCACACGACAAGTGAAAGAAACAGCACCGACAGAAAAACGAAAAGGTTAGCGAATTTTGTGTTTGAAACGCTCGAAAATTATTCGATAAAAGAACACCTGCGAAATTGTTTTCACTGAACTTGTAAGGAGCATTCTACTCTTGTGTCTATGACTCCAGTTTTTCGGAGCTTTCGAAACATGATGAAAAACGTGCCAAGATTTGCTAGAGGTATCGCTTCACACGAAATTCAGCTCTCTCAATAAATCATGTATACGAATTTGCAAAAGCAGCTTCGTTTTCT